CTTGAACTCACGACCCTGAGATCAAGAGTTGCCTGCTCTGCTGACTGAGCCAGCCAGGCACCACTGACCAGAGTAGTTCTGAATGCCTAGGCCTCCTGGAGCCCAGGCTCTGGACACAGTGGGTGTCCAGGCTAAGTTGGGCCAGTTCCCATTGGATAGGTGGTTGGAATTGTTCTTCTGGGCTCTCTGCTTAAGCAAAGATCACTTTTACTTTACTTTATTGTTTTAAAAGATTGTATTTATATATTTATTTTGGCGGGGGCGGGGGAGAGCGTGCATAAACGGAGGGGCAGAGGGAGAGAGAATCTCAAGCAGACTCCATGCTGAGCGTGGAGCCTGATGTGGGGCTCCATCTCATGACCTGGGGCTCAATCTCATGACCCTGAGATCATGACCTGAGCTGATAACGAGAAATCAAGAGTCAGATGCCCAGCCGACTGAGCCACCCAGGCACCGCAGTGATCACTTTTATTTTAAAACCTTCTCTCATGGCCTTCGAAAGGCTGGGCCAGAGCATATTCTGCTTTTTATTTTTTATTTTTTTAAGATTTTATTTATTTATTTGAGAGAGAGAGAATGAGAGAGAGCATGAGAGGGAGGAGGGTCAGAGGGAGAAGCAGACTCCCTGCCGAGCAGGGAGCCCGATGCGGGACTCGATCCCGGGACTCCAGGATCATGACCTGAGCTGAAGACAGTCGCTTAACCAACTGAGCCACCCAGGCGCCCCATATTCTGCTTTTTATGGGGTGCTAGGAAAAGAGGCCTGGAAGTTGGCCCCATTCTAGCCTCCCCACGAGCCCTTGAGGCCATGTAGACTGCCTGGAATGGAATCATGGGCAAGTGGGGCTCCTAATGGGGTGCTGTTCCATGGGTCAGGAGGCCATGGGGCCATGCCTCCGCTGTCCACGTTGGCCTTTTGGCTGCTGTGTGTTTGGGGGGCAGGGTGGGGGAGTCTTCGGAGTATCCTTGGCCTTGGGCTTTGACTACCTACTAAAGACCCACAAGGGCTGCCGAGCCAGGATGGAACCAGGAGGGAGACGGATTTGTTCGTGCTATGACCACTCTGCCCTCATGAACTGCTTCCTGTGTGCCCAGGTTGAGTGAATGTTAGCTGGTAGTGAGCTGCTGAGAAGGGAAGCTCTGTTCTTTTTCTATTTGTTGGAATTTTTGTTTTCTTTTTTTTTTTTAAAGACTTCACTTTTTCTTTTTTATTTTTTTTAAGATTTTATTTATTTGAGAGAGAGAGAGAATGAGAGACAAGAGAGCAGGAGAGGGAGGAGGGTCAGAGGGAGAAGCAGACTCCCCGCTGAGCAGGGAGCCCGATGCGGGACTCGATCCCGGGACTCCAGGATCATGACCTGAGCCGAAGGCAGTCGCTCAACCAACTGAGCCACCCAGGCGCCCGGAATTTTTGTTTTCAATTTGACATAAAATTTATATGCAACATGGTACCCAAATTTCAGGCAACCCTTTGAATTTTGACCAGTGAGTACATCCACCTTAACAAAGATAGAGAGCCATGCTCAGTCCAGAAAGTTCCTCATGCTCCTTCCCAAACAGTGCTCACCTCACCCTCCACAGGGTCTTTTGATTTTGTTTCTACCAGGAACTAGTTCTGTCTTTTCTAGAACTTACTTTAAATGGAATTGTGGGTCTCTACTCTTTTGTGTAAGGTTTTCTTCATGACGTCATGATTTTGAGATTTATCCATGTTCGTGCATCAGTTCTTTTTTTTTTTTAGGATTGTAAAAGTAATACATGATTATTTTATGATTCTGAATATTACAGAAATGAATATACAGAATTTATAGTTTTCCTATACTTCCACCCCCTATCCTCAGAACCTCGTTTATTGATTGGGCATTTGTGCCCCCAAGATGTTTCTTTCCACAGGATGGCATTGCCTCGTTGGGCCTTTCACGCCTGTAGTGAGGAGGGTAGACTGGAAGGAGCAAGCGGACAGGTGCAGGGAGCTCAGGCAGCTCCCTCGGCTCAGCTTTGTGGGCCTGGCCTTCCCTTCGGTGGGTGTGTGTGTGTGTTGTTTTTTTTTTTTTTTTTTTAAAGATTTTATTTATTTATTTGACAGAGACACAGCCGAGAGAGGGAACACAAGCAGGGGGAGTGGGAGAGGGAGAAGCAGGCTTCCCGCCGAGCAGGGCGCCCGATGTGGGGCTCGATCCCAGGACCCTGGGATCACGACCTGAGCCGAAGGCAGACGCTTAACGACTGAGCCACCCAGGCGACCCGGGTGTGTGTGTTTTGTTTTGTGTTTTTTTAAATATTTTATTTACTTATTTGACAGAGTAGACACAGCCAGAGAGGGAACACTAAGCAGGGGGAGAGGGAGAAGCAGGCTTCCCGCTGCGCAGGGAGCCCGATGCGGGGCTCGATCCCAGGACCCCGGGATCATGACCTGAGCCGGAAGGCAGCCGCTTAATGACTGAGCCACCCAGGCGCCCCTGAGTGGGTGTGTGTTTTAAGAGTCTGGGTTGTCTGGGCCCTGGGCCTGCCCTCACCTCAGTGTGTGTGTGTGTGTGGCGGGGCGGGGGCGTGTCTGGCTTTTCTCTGGCAGGGACTTGGAGGGGGAGAAAAGGGCATGAGAATTCAGCAGAGACCTGTGTAGTTCTCTGCCTAACAGCCCAGCTGGGTAGGTGGGGGTGGACCATTTTGTAAACAAGGACCTGGGAAGGGAATCCAGGTGTTATAGCCAGGTCTCTCTGTTCATTCTCCCTTCTGTGTTCACGAGAAGCCAGAGCTGGCCTTCCCCAGGGACTCTTTTCCTACTGCCCTTCCCCCAGGGTCAGCCTAGCCAGGGTCTCATCTCCCCCTGCCCCCCCCCCCCCCCCCCAGATGGGCTAGGTCTTGGCCTCAGAGGAATACCTGATGATCCCACTGCCCCAGATCCTGGGCTTTCTGGAGCCAGTGCTCCGGCAGGCAACGGTTCTGAGCTGGGTGTGGATCCTTGGGGCTGATAGGCACGCTGCCTGGGCCTGCTGCCAGGGGGCTGCTGGGTGCCAGGAGCTGGTGCCAGGCGGTATCTTCATCTCAGCTTGTGGGCTCCTGCCAAGGCTGGGCACCAAGCCCCTGGACCCGGTCGGGGCCTGCGCTGCCAGCTTACTGGGCCAGCCCCCACGGTCATGTTTCCCTGGCACCCCGCCTCCCCTGGGGCTGTAGCCTCTCCAGCATAGGTGCCTGCTCCTCCTCCAGCCCGTGTTGAGCTGTAGGGCAGAGGATTGTCTGCTTGTTCCTGTTGGCTGGGAAGAAGAGAGCAAGGCTTTGCGGGGATCCTGGCCCTGCAGTAGTGGGGCGCCCCTCCCTTGTGGTGAGGTTAACATCGGTGGTCGCGGCCTGCCTGGCCCCGCCTGGGGTGGGAGGCAGGTAGGGTGGCATTGTGCTGGCTCTGACCGCCCAGCAGGCAGCCCTGCTGTGGCCCCACCCAGTGGAGGGCACTGGGGAGGCGACTCAGCCCTGTCCTGTGGAGTCCCTGTGGGGAAGTTGGGCCCAAGAAGAGTCATGTCTGACCCAACCTCGGAGACCTTGGTCAGTCACTCTGCCTTCCCGTGGCTGGCGAAGTGGCTGGTGAAGTGGCTGGCAGGGCTGGAGCAGTGAGTACCTGTGGAAGCCCCCGAGTTCTGTTCTGCTGCCCCCTCTGTGCATGGTGTTCAGTAGTTGTTGGCCTGATCTCTGACGAGGGCAGGTAATACCTATTTGTGGGGTCTGGTATGTGCTAAATCGGGGGCCACGGTGTGGACGCTGTGCCCCAGCAGGGCTTGGGTTGCCCTGAGATCTGGTGGGGAGCAGGCTGTGTGGTGGGCATCTGGTAGGCTCGAACACATCGCTGTGGCTCCCGCTTCATTTTTCAGGGCTGCTCTCACCAGCGCTGAGGTGGTCTCTGCCCCCCTTCCTAAGGCTGAGCTCTACTCTGTCCTGCTGGCCACCTCTGGTGTCACTTGGCAGGAGAGCCTGAACTCTCTACACACACAAGGGGTCCAGGGCCTTCATTAAATGCAGACGAAGGTGCTCTCAGGCCTCTGGACCAACAGAACTGGTTCTCCTGCCATCTGGGCCATGGGTGGGATTCTGGACCAACCGTTCCCCCTCCCCACTTTCCCACACCCCCGGGCCACCCCATGAGAGGAGGACTGTGCTGGGGGCCAGAGAGACAGCTGGCTGGCTGGAGCAGAGGCCTCCCAGCCACCCCGCACCCCGGGTCTGGTCACATTCCTGAGGGACCTGCTGAGCCGCCCTGGCCCTGGGGGTGGGGGAAGGGCAGGCAGGGATGGGCTCCAGGCTGCTGTGCGCCTCCGCCCCCACCCTTGGCTCCATTCCAAGGGAGCCCAGGCTTGCTGAGTGGGGTGCAAAAAGTCAGAACCTCAGGATCCCCCTCCCTGGGGACCTGCATCTCTGGGGGAGGGGGGATGGTGGGGGCAGAAGGAGACCTTCACATCTGGCAGCAGCTGGCTTTGGCGGGCTGGTATTGAAAGGCCAGGCCTGCAGAAAGTCCTGCGAGGGGAGGCCATGTGGTCCGACTGGGCTGGGCAGGAGGGGGCTGGGCCCTCTGGGCAGGGAGGGGGTGGCAGCAGCAGATCAGGAAGGGAAGGAGGCAGGAGAGCCAGAAGCGGTTGAGACTGGTTCTTATAAATAGCCCATTGCACTAGTGCCTCCAATTTTGACCTTTTGTTATGTAAATGTGGCCAGCCTGAGAAGGGCGTTGCCCAGGCCGCCTGCCACCAGCGCCCCCCACAGGCCTAGGTGGCCCTGAAGCGTACCCTAAATCTTCTGGGTGGGAGGAGAGTGCAGCCCTGCTGAGCTCTCCAGGCCTGTGGCCTTCCCTGCCACCGGGCCTGATGGCTGCTGGGCACTGTGGCTGCCCCTGGTACCCCAGCCAGAGAGACCCCAGACCTTCCCAGGAGTGAGGGCCCCGGGACCACCAGGTACCTGCCCCTTTACTGGCGCTCCTTCTTGCCCTTGGCTGACCCTGTCCATCTTCTCCTCCCCAGGTGACCAGGCATTGATGCACCCCCAGGGAGGCCGCGCGCTCAAGGAGGCCACCCCCGCTGGCTGCTGCGCACATGGTTTCTGGGCCCCTGGCACTCCGGTAGGCTGGGGAGGGGGGCAGACGAGGGGGAGGGCCACCTGGGCTGCCCACACAGTCCTGCAGTTCGCAGCCTGGCCCTTTGTGTGCACACAGTGCTGGGTAGCATGCAGGTGAGGCTGGGGCCCACTGCCCTCAGCCTGCAGAGGAGGGGCTGCTGCGGCTCATAGGCTCTTGGAGGATGGAACCTCCTGCCCTTGGCCTGCCCTCTCTTGCCAGCCTGGGAGCACCAGGTATCCTGAGTGCTGGTGGGGCTGACACTGCATTTCCCTGGGGCTGGGTGTCCCGGCCAGTGTGGAAACCGTGCCTTGGGCTCTTTGTCCCTTCCTGGCTGGCTGAGGGGCAGGGGGTGGCAGAGGGTAGGTTCCCTCGGGACACAGGCTCTAGCCTCTGAGCCCCAGCTGAGCGGTCTTGTAAGGCTGTGCTGGCTGAGCGGGTGCTTGCTGCCTCCTATTAGGCCCTGAGTGCTAGCTTGCGGCCGTGTCTCCCCATGTGTGTTCACAGTTCCGAGGCCACCTTTGGGGTGTGCGTGGTTATTAGGGTTTTCCTCTCTTTGCAAATGAGGGCAGGCATGGGGCAACGGCGCGCGGGAAGTGTTTGTGTTACAGGAAGGCAACGTGGGCATGATCCCTTCAGACTCTGCCCCAAGGGAGGCAGGACTGGGCTGGGTACGCTGGTAGAGGCAGAGGGGTCCCAGGTGGGGCAAGGCTTAGAGTAGTCACTTTCAGAGATTGAGCCCTGAGCCGAAGGACGTGAAGGTACCCTTGTCAACTGCATGGCACAGAGTTGCCTGTGGGAGGGTGCATGTTCCCTGAAGGGCCGGAGGGAGCAGGGAGCCACACCTTGTGCGTCAGGTCCTGCTGCTCATCGGGGTGGCTGCCTGGTCAGAGCACCCTGCTCTCAGAGACCCATGTGCGTGCTGTTGCACAGCCCACCTGCACGGTTCCCGTGGAGGTCAGAGGCCTCTCTCTGTTTATTAATGGCATCAGTTAGCGTCTGTGCCGGTCTGGCAGGGCCAGCTGGCTGCTTTTCCTGGGGCCCCGGTGGTGCCAGGGGCTTGACCAGGCCCCCTTTTCTGCTCAGCACCTAGAGACCCAGGCTGGGGTACTCAGGGCCCTCCCGGGGGGCGAGGCCCTTGTGGGTTGGGAGCAGGCACTGGCAAGGGACTGTGGCTGGACTGCAATGTGTCTGCAGGCAGGACTGAACGTTGGCAAACCTGAATTGGGAAGCCAGGGGTTTGAGAGGCACCTGGGGCAGAGCAGAGGTCACAGGTGGAGGCTGCATATTTGATTTGGTCCACGTGGTATTTAAGGAAAAAGAACCTTTATTTGGCATTGGGAGATTCAACCTGAAAATCTCAATTTCTAGCTTGTCCTAAAAACTGGGAAGTTGCCTGCCCATGTGGGAAGCGAGCCCACCTGGGAGCTTCTGCTCACCTCAGTCCCTGCTGCTTCCCAGCACCTCACAATCCCCTGCTCGTCATTTTTTAGTCTCCTGCGAGCTTGTGGCCGACTTCTTTAGTGTGGAGAGGGTGCCCTGGGCTGTGGAGCCAAAGTCACATCCCATTTTCTCCGCTCGGCACCACGTGACCATTGTCCTCTGCTTCTGTGCAAATGGGACCGGTGCCCCTGTCGCTTTTCGGGCAGCATGAGTCCCCATGGTAGTGTGAGTTCCTTTCCTGGGTACCATGCCTGGTGAGGCCTCCCTGAGCACCACCACAGCCCCACCCTGTCCTGGAGCCCTTGCCAGAGGCTCCCAGGTGGCTAATGCCCATGCGCCTGTTCTTGCCCACAGGTGGTACGCGTGGGCGGGGCGTGGGGACATGGGGCCCGACATGGAGCTGCCCAGCCACTCCAAGCAGCTCCTGCTGCAGCTGAACCAGCAGAGGACGAAGGGCTTCCTGTGTGATGTCATCATCATGGTGGAGAACTCCATTTTCCGTGCCCACAAGAACGTCCTGGCTGCCAGCAGCATCTACTTCAAGTCCCTGGTCCTGCACGACAACCTCATCAACCTGGACACGGACATGGTCAGCTCCACGGTGTTCCAGCAGATCTTGGACTTCATCTACACGGGCAAGCTGCTGCCCAGTGACCAGCCGGCCGAGCCCAACTTCAGCACTCTCCTCACTGCCGCCAGCTACCTCCAGCTGCCCGAGTTGGCAGCGCTCTGCCGCCGTAAACTCAAGCGAGCCGGCAAGCCCTTCGGCTCCGGTCGGGTGGGCGCCACCGGCATGGGGAGGCCACCCCGCAGCCAGCGGCTGTCCACAGCCTCCGTCATCCAGGCGCGGTATCCGGGGCTCGTGGACGGACGGAAAGGGGCCCACGCCCCCCAGGAGCTCCCCCAGGCCAAAGGCTCGGATGACGAGCTCTTCCTTGGAGGCTCCAGCCAGGAGGGTGTGCATGGCCTGGGCCGGGCCGTCTGTCCAGCCAGCGGGGAGGCCGGCCTGGGCAGCTGCAGCACCAATGGGAGCAGCGGGGGCTGCGAGCAGGAGCTGGGCCTGGACTTGTCCAAGAAGAGCCCTCCCCTGCCTCCCGCCACCCCCGGTCCCCCCCTGACCCCTGACGACTCAGCCCAGCTGAGTGACAGCCAGCACGGCTCGCCCCTCTCAGCCTCCGCCCCTCCTGTTGCCAACAGTGCCTCTTACACTGAGCTGGGGGGCACCCCCAATGAGCCCATGGACCTGGAGGGGGCCGAGGACAACCACCTGAGCCTGCTGGAGGGGCCCGGTGGGCAGCCCCGGAAGAGCCTGCGGCACTCGGCCCGCAAGAAGGAGTGGAGCAAGAAGGAGCCCAGGGTGGGGTCCCCCTTTGAGCGGAGGGAAGCGGGGCCCAAGGGCCCCTGCCCAGGGGAAGAGGGCGAGGGGCTAGGGGACAGGGTTCCCAATGGCATCCTGGCCAGCAGTGTTGGGGGGGGTGGCCCCAGTGGGCCCTACGTGGAGCCCCCGTACCCCTGCAAGGAGGAGGAGGAGAACGGCAAGGATGGGAGTGAGGACAGCGGGCAGAGTGGGAGCGAGGGGGGCAGCGGCCACGCCGGCACGCACTACATGTACCGGCAGGAGGGCTACGAGACCGTGTCCTATGGGGACAACCTGTACGTGTGCATCCCCTGCGCCAAAGGCTTCCCCAGCTCCGAGCAGCTCAATGCCCACGTGGAGACACACACGGAGGAGGAGCTGTTTATCAAAGAGGAGGGTGCCTACGAGACGGGCAGCGGGGGCGCCGAGGAGGAGGCCGAGGACCTGTCGGCGCCCAGCGCGGCCTACACGGCCGAGCCCCGGCCCTTCAAGTGCTCGGTCTGCGAGAAGACCTACAAGGACCCGGCCACGCTGCGGCAGCATGAGAAGACGCACTGGCTGACCCGGCCTTTCCCCTGCAACATCTGCGGCAAAATGTTCACGCAGCGTGGCACCATGACGCGCCACATGCGGAGCCACCTGGGCCTCAAGCCCTTCGCCTGCGACGAGTGTGGCATGCGCTTCACCCGCCAGTACCGCCTCACCGAGCACATGCGTGTGCACTCGGGCGAGAAGCCCTACGAGTGCCAGCTCTGCGGGGGCAAGTTCACCCAGCAGCGCAACCTCATCAGCCACCTGCGCATGCACACCTCTCCCTCCTAGAAGCCAAAGACCCTTCTCCCCGGCCCGAGGCTGCCCTCTGCAGACTCGCCCTCGGGAGCCAACCGAAGGAAGGAAGAAAGAAGCACGGAGGCCGGGCGGGAGGGGCCAGGACCTCCAGGTCCCGTGGGGGTGGCTCCTGGGGGCACCTGCAGCCAGCCCCGCCCCCCACACCCAGAGCTTTAATGGACAAGTCTGTACCAAGGGAAGCGAGAGGAGGGAAGCCGAGAGGCCCGAGCTCCGAGTGCACATTGCTGGTGTGCCGTCTACCTCCCGATTCCACCCTGGCCCCCGGCTTCCTGAGAGGGGCCGCTGCAGGGCCTGTGGGAGTGGGTCACGGGGGTCTCGATGGGACCTGGCCCCTTTCCTGCAGGCCAGGTCAGAGCAGGGGGAAGTGGGGGCCTCCCTCCGCTGGGGAGGAGCAGGGCTGCCCCGTGGCCAGGGGCGCAGTCTGTGTGCGTGCACGAGTGCCTGTCTGTGTGCGGGCCACCCTGGCTCTTTGGGGAGCGGTGCTGGAGGGGAGGGGACGGAGCCCTCCTTCCTCGAGCCAGGGGTCACTGCTCACTGGCACTAAGACAGTCAGGGGGCCCCCACCGCCTACCTCTCCACAGCTAAAGAGCCCTCTGGGCCTGTGTTGCTGTTATTCCTACTGATCTGATGCTTTTTTCTTTTTGAATTTTGTTTTTTAAACCAAAACCAACAAGAGTTTATTTTCCTCCCGGCCCCTCGGGGCTGAGCCTGGGTCTGCAGACTGAATGTACAGGGGCAGCTGCCCCTCCTGCCCCCGCCCTGGCTGTGGGCTGAGGGGCGCCCACCCCTCCAGGCCCCAGAAGCCCTTCTTGGCCAAAGGCTTCCCTGGGCCCCGAGCCCCGCCTCGGCTGCCTCAGGAGAGAGAGAGATTTTCCTATAGTTTCTGAGGAATATTCTTTGTTTAGAGGTACTTCTTTTTTATTAAGAGAAAAACCAGTGTAACGTTTATGTGAATGTTCGAACTGGAAGGTCTGGGATTTGTGGGGGGGAGGGGGGAGGCTGGACTCCATGCCAGAGCCGTCGGTACTCTTCTTTTTTCATTTTCTGTGTGTGTGTGTGTGTGTATGGATGTATGTATGTATGTATGTAGTGTGCGCGGTGCATGTAGACAGATAACTGAGCTTTCCTTCCTTCCTTACCGATCAAGGTGGAGAGACTTCTGACCTTTTGCTACCTCTTGAATCCACGAGAACAGTGTGTTGGTGGCTGGCAGCTGAGGCCGTGACACTTGGTTTCCTGCTGTTAGTGTGCATAGGAAAACTCACGTGTGAGTGAGCCTCCTGGGCCCCCCCTACCCCCAGCGCCCTCAGAGAGGGGCTCTGTGCCCCAGAGCGCAACACTCACTGTGTCCACCTGCAGGTGTTCTGAGTGTTGCTGAGCATCAGGGAGCCCGTGTGTGCTTCTGATCTGGGCCTGGGTTGGGGGGCAGTGGGTGAGTGCTTCAGCCCCAGCCCCATGGGACATCAGGGCGTGGAGCCTCACCGCCAGGGCCAGCTCCTTGCAGCTCCCCACCAGGGCCAGGATGAGGTGGAAGTGAGCCCCCCCCATTCTGCCCCTTGGGCCTGCAAGAGCCGGAGCTTGGGAGAGCAGCAGCCCCTGCCAGGCCAGTGCAGAGGCATGGGGAGGCACTGACCAAAGTGATGTATACCCCCCTGGGGGACAGGGAGAGGGCCTGCCCTACTTTGGCACCTTCTTGGGGCGGTCCTGGCCACTCTGGCAAGAGGCTGGCTGCCACTAATTGTCTTGGCCCTGTCTGGAGTCCCACCACTCGCCCCTCACCGTGGGTTTTCTCTTCCACCCTCAGGACCCTTCCATGGGCCAAGGGTCAGGCTCGCGAGGCCAGACCAAGGCCGCTGTAGGGCTGGGCCAGCGGCTTTGTTTTCATTTTGCTTCATGCTTTTTATTTTTTTTTTCTTTCTACTTTTAAGTTCAGACCAAAAAATTCTAGAGTCATCCTCTACCTTCACCCCTCCAGAGACCCTCCAGCTGAAAACAGCCTGAGTTCAGGGACCCGAATGGTGAAGGGCGTGTTTTGCAAGTGAGGGCTCCTGGCTGAGCCCATCTCAAGGCGCCCCGAGCCCCAAGTTGGGTCTTAACTCCCTCTGGGTGGGAAAGGAACACTGGACCCAGGGTCTCGTGTTCCCGGAAGTCAAGTGAGGGGGGCAGGGTCCTTTCCAGGCCTCTCCGCCCTCCCGACCCCACCCCACTCCGTCAGCACTTAAGCCACACGACACAAAGTCTGTACCGCACGGGAGTTGTACGCACGCGCGCGCCCGGCCTGTGTGTGGCCTCTTGGGCTGTGGGCGGCTGCATTCATGAGGTGACCCGTGAGAGTAGGTGATTCATTTGCAGAACTTCAGGGACTGGGCGCAAAGGCCCCTCACTCAACGACGTTCGTGCGACATAGTATTGTACCCACCTGAGTATTGTATCGAGCCTTTTCTGTATTTTAACAAGAAAGCAAAACACTAGTTTCCTATTTAAGATTTTAAGGGTTTGTGGGGAGGGGTGGGACTAACACAACACTTGGTTTTGTTTTCTTTTCCCTTTGATTTCATGTGGAGTGTGTGCTTGCGAGTGTGTGCGTGGAAATGTGTTAAGAGCCTCACAAGGAAATTAGGCCGTTGGAGGCCAAGGGCGGCTTACAGTTCTCTGCTTTAGTCACTTAATTCCTGAATGTTTCGGAGAAACAGGAAACAGAGAAAATAGCAGATGTCATGTAGGAAAGAGAGGATAAACAAACAAAAAAAAACAAAAAAAAACAAAAAAAAAAAAGCTCATACCCAAATTCACAAAACCTATTTTTTAAACCAAAGCACATTTTGAATGAGTATGGAACCTCAATGGGCTCAGAAAAAAAGATACTAATATATTTATCTCATTGTTTACATAAACTTTTACAGTTTCAGACCTCAGCAGCTGTAAGGCCAGTCCCAGTGAATCCCCACCTTACGCTGGAGGCCCTTCTGAGTCAGCTCACGGGCAGAGGGGTGGCCGGGGCAGGCACAGAGCCCCCTGGATTCACCTGAGCCCTCCTCCCCAGCCCCAGGCCTCTCAAAGCCCAGCTGGCACCAAAGAGCGTGGGCCGGTGCTGACCGGCCCCCAGGCCTCCTGGCCGGACCGTGGGGGTCCCGGCCAGCTGGCACAGCAGGGGATGGCCGTTGGCTCTGGCCATGGGACCCGAGTCTGGGCTAGGGCCCTGGGATGGAGGGCCCCCCCATCTCCCCCACTCTGCCTGCGACCCTCGGGGTGGGTTGATGTGAGGGTCCCTCTCAAGCCAAAAAGCCCCGGGACCTTTGCACAGCTCTGTTGACTCCAGTGGGTCCCCACCCCCAGGGGACACCCCCACCCCCACCCCCGGCAGTGGGGGGGGGCTTACTGGGCTGGTCCTTACCAACACAGACGGTGCAAACACTCTGAACAGTGTTGTTTTTGTATCAATATGTTTGTGCAGTGATGAATGTATTTATTTCTCAGACTTGGGGAGAGTGAGCGGCCAGCTCTGCCACCGCTCGCTCCCACCAGACCGAGCCACCCCAAGGGCTCCTCCAGGATTGCAAAAAAAGGTAAAAAAAAGAAAAGATGAACCTTTAAGCAAATAAGAATCTCAGAGACTTGCAGCATAGCCATACACCTCAGCCTGTGAAATGAACAATCTGGACCTTGACGGACTTTTGGAACCTCACGCAGCCGTGTGTGTACTTCCTGTTCGTCACCACTCGGGGGCGCTGGGCTCTCCCGCTGTGCCCCCACCCCCACCCGGTCAGTATTCACTGGACTGGGCCGTGTGCAGGAGTGCGATCTGGGCTGGGCAGGCTGGGCAGGCTGGGCAGGCAGACCCTACCGCCCTCCCCACAGCCGTCCTGAGTGGGGGAGGCCTGGGCAGCCAGGAGGGCAGGGCTCAGGGAAGAGGTGGCTGCATCCGTCCGCCCCCTAGCTTAGGGGACGAAAGCAGAGGCACCAGGCCTCTGAAGAACAGACAAGGGATCTCAGCCCTGCTGTGCCCCTCAAAGGGACCAAGGCCCTTGCTCTTCCCCATGGTCACATTGGGGCAGATGTTACTGAACCTGTGAATCCGATGCCAGGAGTGATGGGATGGAGAGGGACCTAACCAGAGCCTCAGTGTGACATTCCAGATCAGGGGGTGGATGTGCGCTGTGGGAATTGAGGCTGCCCAGGACCCCCCTCCTAGGACCCCTCCCCCATCAGCTTCAGTCACTACTTTAATTTTTCTACCGGGAACCCCTCCCCCTACCTCACCTTGCTATTTATTGCTGTAATTTATTGACCTCAAAAATGCTGCATAACAGACCTCACTTGGGGCAGGGAGGATCCCCAGGGCTCCCCCCCTCCACTTGGCGGGGCCCCGTGGGGCCAGGTGCTGAGGGGAGCCTCTCTGTATCCCACCCATCACTTGTTTTCCCCCTCCCCCCTTGGGGGACCCCAGTTTGGGCAGCTGCCCATTCGCAAATACCTCGAGGGGGAGGGGGAGGGATGGGGTTATAGCTGTTTTGTTTAATCAGAACTGGAAGAGGGATCACGTCCTACTCTATTCCCTTCCCAGAAGGGGGAGGGACACCGTGATCGCACTCCTGTACTGGCCACCGCCGCTGTCAGTCATCACATCGAGCTCACTTCCTTTGAGAGTTTGGATAAATTCAGGTCAGAGCTGCAAGTACGCAGCCCTCAAGTGTCATAGAAAAGCAATTTACCGACGACTGATCTCTCCATTCAGAAGCGTGCAGTCTTAATGTACAGTGATGAGAAACTGTTATTTTATGATCTTTTCATTAAAAGCTTGATTGAAAACTATCTTATGTGGGGCTTCTGTGTTCTGTGGTTGTTCTTACTAAATGACATACTGCTTTCCTTTCTGTGTCCAGCACTTCCAAGACCTAGGAGGGCAGGAGCTGGGATGGGCACGTGCCCACTACCGTCCTAAGGGTGGGTTTCAGATGGGGCTGGGACCTCACTTGGCAACGTGTGTGCATCCTGGGCTTGGGCACTGGTCCAGGGACCCAGCACCCTAGAGTCAGCATCCTCTTGGGCAGTGTTGTCCCAGGTTGGCTAAGACGGTTTAGGGAGCAGTGGATATGTTGGCGGGGACAGGGACCTGGTGGACTGGATGAGGGGAGGTCTGGCCCATGCCCCGGACCACCTGTTGGAGCAGCAGAGTCAGGCTGGGGCAGGGCAAGGGCTCTCTCTTGCCCACTGCTCCTGCTTCCTGCTTGGGGTCAAGGAGGGGAGGAAGGAAGGGATAATCTTAGTCTCCATAGGCAGGGACAATAGTTCCAGTTTCCTTCGGGACTGTCCCTCCCACCTACCAGCGTGGGAATTCCCAGGATGAGTGAAGATCCGGGAGGAGCATCAAGGATGGGACCGGGAGGGTGGTCAGCCAGCTTAGATCCCTGACTGGGGGCTTCAGATGTCCAAGTGGCTCCAGGGAAGCAGCGGTTGAGCCTGGGACCCCCAGAAGAATATGGGCATTGCTGCTTTAATCCATGGTAAGTTTTGTTTAATTTTTGTTTTTTAAATGTGTGTGTGTGTGTTATTTTTAAGTAATCTCTACGCCTAATGAGCTCGAACTTAACAACCCTGAGATCAAAAGTCACATGCTCTACGTACTGAGCCAGCCAGGTACCACCTGTTCAACTCTTTTATTTATTTTTTAAAAGATTTTGAGAGCATGAGAGGGGGGAGCAGGGAGCCTGATGCGGGACTCCATCCTGGGACTCCAGGACCATGACCTGAGCTGAAGGCAGTCACTTAACCAACTGAGCCACCCAGGTGTCCAGTTCAGCTCTCTTAAAATTCTTTTTTGGGGGCGCCTGGGTGGCTCAAGTCGTTAAACGTCTGCCTTCGGCTCGGGTCATGATCCCAGGGTCGTGGGATGGAGGCCCGCATCAGGCTCCCTGCTCAGCAGGAAGCCTGCACTTCTCCCTCTCCCACTCCCCCTGCTGGTGTTCCCTCTCTCGCTGTCTCTCTGTCAAGTAAAATCTTCAAAAATTATTTTTTGGTTTTATCAAAGCAATAACTGACCATAGTTTAATCAAAAGTTCCTTTAAAAGGCTTAAAACAGGGACACCTGGACTGGCTAAGTTGGAAGCCCATGTGACATGTGATCTTGGCGTCATAAGTTCGAGCCTCCCTTTGGGTGTAGGGATTGCTAAAAAAACAAAGTCTTAAAAAGAGTTTTTTGTTCCCTTAGCCCCATCCCAATGTATGCAGACACCCACTTTTAATTTGTAGCGTTTCTTATGTATCTCCACATTTCTAAATAGTAGTATTATCCTGCTATCTTAATTCATCCTTTTAAGAATCTGGACCTATAGATGAAGATTTTAGTTCATTTTAGTGCATTTATACCCTCTTCCCCTTCCCTTAAATTCCCCAAGTAGTTTAGTTCAATCTAGTGGTTGGGAAACTTCTGTAAAGTAGCCAGATAGTAACTATTCTAGGCTTTGTGGGTCATAGAGTCTCTGCAGGGACTTCACAACCCTGCTGTCACGGTGCTAAAGCAGCATGACAATGTAACAGGTGGGCATGGCTATGTTCCATTGAACTTCATTTATAAGAACTGGTGAAGTATGCAATTTACTGATCATACTTGCCATGATCACCGTGTGCCTTTGTTCACTGCTGAGCCAAGTGGCGTAGCACATCTTTTTGTACCATTTCTTGTTCTCGTGGAGGTTGATTATGTTTTCAGTTACTCAGATTGATTTGTATCTCTGTCTTCCTCCACTCTGTAACTCTGTGAGATCCTTCCCAGTACAGTTTCCCGCAGAATCAGACGCTATCTTTTCTGTTATTTGCCCTCCACCCCCAGGGACACCCATGTGGAACCTGCTGCTTTCCTGCACAGATGGGGTGGGAAAAGTTTTCTGTCCTGCTTTGGAAGCCCAGCTTTCTGGATCCTGTGTGTTCTTTTCTTAGATTATACATGCTTGTTTGGGTAGTATGTTTTCTCTGGTACCATCCTGAGAAAGAACATATGGGAGGTAGGTTTTTTGAAACTTTGAATGTTGAAAATGTTTTTAAACTACACAGAATCGATAGTTTGGCTGGGTATAGAATTATAGATTGGATATCATTTTCCTGCTGAATTTGGAAAGTGTTGCTTCATTGGCTTCTACCTTCCAATGTGATGAGAAGTCCAGTTCCCTTTGTATGTAACCTTCTCTGGAAGCTTTTAGGATTGTCTCTATTTCAGGTGGTTTGTCATTCGTTGGGCTGGGCACTTGATGGATTGGTTTCATTCTGGATACCTGTTTCTTCATTAAATCTACTGGTTTTTGAAACATGTCAGCTGTTATTTTTAATTTCCCTTCTTTGATTATTGCATTTTGTTCTCTTTTCATAGATTTAATCTCTAAGGGAAATTTAATTTTTTTTTTTACATTTTCTTCTGTTCCTTGTATCTAATTCCCTTTTAGATTCCCGCTTTAGGTTAGTTTTTACCTTTTAAAAAATAATTTTAAAGGCTTTCCTCAAATGTTGGGTGACTTTGGCAGGTCTGATATTCAAGAATGAGACCCTAGAAAGCTTCTTGGAATCAATCCAGTGGTCACCTAAGATGTGTGGGATGAAGGGAGATGAGACACTGCTTTCTCCTGTGCTGAGTTGGCCGTGGTGCTTCTGAATGAGAGGGCCTTATGCGGAAGTGGGGCTTGAAGAGCATTCTAGAGAAGGGTGAAAGATGAGATGAAATACCCTATTGCAGGCTGACCGTAAGTCAGGGCTAGGTTAGGGAGGAGTTCCATAGTTAGAAATCAAAGACAGATTTTGATGTGGGCACTGCTGTTTCCTTCCATAAAGTGTTTAATCTAAAACATGCCTCTTTCCAAAAGATATTTGAGGTAGACAGCAGTGAAGGAATTCTTTTTTTTTTTCTAAAGAATTTATTTATTTATTTGACAGAGACAGCGAGAAAGGGAACACAAACAGGGGGAGTGGGAGAGGGAGAAGCAGGCTTCCCGCCTAGCAGGGAGCCCGATGTGGGGCTCTATCCCAGGACCCTGGGATCACGACCTGAGCCGAAGGCAGACGCTTACGACTGAGCCACCCAGGTGCCCTGTGAAGGAGTTCTAAGTAGTCAAGAATGAGCCAAAAAAAAGGAACAGGGAAGAGTAGGAAAAAACTCCTCTGTTGTCATTAGGCCAAAAATTGTGAGTGAGGGTCATGGTCGGCTCTGTGTGTCCAAACAAGAAGGAAGGAGGGAAAAAGGACAAGGTCAGGATGAGTGAACTAGAGGCTGTTTCCACTTCCTTGCGTGAGGAAGTATCTAAATATTTCAAGAACTGTTTCCCAGGAGACCTTCTACAAGGGCGTTTGCTAAGTTGTATACCAAACGGACAGGGAACTTTGAAATGGCCCCTTCCTCAAACCTGGTAAAAGCCAGGGCGTGTCATTGAAGTCTCAGGTACGCCACAAAATGTTGCCGTTGGTGATTCTGAGGTACCGCCCCTGCTTCTGTGGGCCACCTGTAGGTGTTGTGCACATCCAGAGTCTGAGTGAGAATGTGTGGACACGTGTGAGACCTACGCTTGAATGGCCCAGGCACCCGACTGACTCTGCCCATCTCCTTGGCACAGGCCGGCCTTGGCCCTCCTACAGCCCTGGGAGGCGGGGGCGGGGGGGGTACCCTTCAACATAGGGATTCTGGAGGACAACTCAGCCCATAACGGGGTACACAGGGGTGTGCCACGTGCAGCCTTAGGTGGCCACAGGAGTCCCAGGCAGCCCTCCGTCTGTCGGTGTTCACACCACAGGCTCTGCAGGCTTGGCCTCATGGCCTCGCGTCGGCCCCTCTCTCCTCGGGGCAGGAAGCCCAGCACCCCCTCAACCTGGAACCTGCAGGAGCCTCGCCCTGAAGAAAGCGGTCACTGAAGAGGGCGGTCCCCTAGCAGCTGGCTGGAGGAGGGTGGCCAGCAGAGGGCAGCGTGCGCAGGCTCCCTGGGAGAGCAGGTGGCCACGTGCCCTAGACGGCATCTGCATCCCACCAGCTGAGAGCTGGCCTCTATGCTGGAGAAACCAGATAGAGGAAAGGGTCTGATTTCTTGGGAAAGGTGGGGAGCGGGGCAGGTGTTGGCATCAGTGTAGGAGGCTGGCCCACTCTCTGGGCCGGGGCTGTCTTTCTCAGCATGAGGCAGAGATGCTGGAAGTCTTACCAGTCACCACCCGGCCATAACGAACCCCCTGTCCTGGGCACTTGGCTTTCTGGGAAGAGAGTCTGCAGTTCTCCTTCCGCCTGCACTGGTCTCTGCAAATGCCGCTGACCGGTGAGTTTAGGAAATGTTGTCACCAAACGGTTTTGGTGTTAGCCTATTTCATGGTCAGCCCTTCTTTCTGGCCACAGGTGACAAAGCTGATCGCCACCTGCAAGTGTCCCTGATGTGAGATCAGGGCCAGCACCAAGGGGATGTCACCATTGGCTTCTCTGTGGCAGGTGGGTGTGCGTCCAGTCCTGGGTTTGTTGACGGTGCATGAATGTGGCCCCTGACTTCTGGGATCCTTGAGTCCTGCGGAGGGACCAGGCAAGTAAGTACTAATGCCGACTGAGTCCCCATAGCCCGCACTGCACCAAGTGCTCAGCCGCACTAGCTCTTCTGCTCACCCTGGGGGTAAATGGTGGTACTGCCCGGATGGCCGGTGACTCACAGGGTGGGTGGGTGGGGCCGTGTCCGCAGGAGGTTTCCGGAGCTCTGGGACAGAGGGCCACCTGGTGGGGACTCATGCCGGGGCTGTGACCGGAGGCAATGGCCCTGGGCCACAGTGCTCTGTCCCAGGCAGCCAGAACAGTATGGAAGAAGGCCAGGGGAAGAGTCGGTGTGTTGCTGGAACTGAAGCAACCTCCCAGTGGCCAGAGAGGAGTGTGTGTGGGAAGAGTGGCCCCAGACTCCAGCCAGGGCAGGAAGGGCCTCCAAAGCCAAATCAAACAGCCGGGCTTGCCCCCAGGGTGAAGGAGCCATGGGTAGCTCATTGTCTCCCCAAGAGGGCCCTGCCCTCGAGGGGCCACCCCCGGCACTGGGAGATGGAAAGGGGTGTGCGTGCGTGCTCGGGCTGCTGTAACAAAGCCCCACGGCCTCCGGAGCTTGACCGGAAGTTCTCACGGTCCCTGAGGCTGAAGCCTGAAGCCACGTCTCGACAGGGCTGGTTTCTCTTGAGGCCTCTCTCCGTGGCTTGTAGACGGCTCTCCTCCCTCTGAGAGCGTCTGTGTTCAGATTTCCTCTTATAAGGATCCCAGTCAGATTGGCTGAGGGGCCACCCTGACAGCCTCGGGTTAGCCTAACCACCTCTTTGAAGACCCAGGCACATTCTGAGGGGCTGAGTCTTAGGACTTCAACATAGGGATTCTGGAGGACACAGCTCAGCCCATAACGGGGTACACAGGGGTGTGCCACGTGCAGCCTCAGGCGGCCACAGGAGTCCCAGGCGGCCCTCTGTCTGCGTTCACACCACAGGCTCTGCAGGCTTGGCCTCATGGCCTCGCGTCGGCCCCTCTCTCCTCGGGGCAGGAAGCCCAGCACTCAGGCCTGTGCTCGCTGCGGCGGGCGCCTGCTGGGCTTACATGCCCTTTAGTTAGGGTGTCATCATCCACAGGGGCAGGCTGTGGGGTCAGAGGAAGAACGTGGTCTTGGGCCACACCTGCCAGCAGTTTGGATCCCAGCTCTTCAGGATCATGGCCGGTTTGTGGCTTATGTCCTTGGATAAGACTCTGCAGTGGAGACAGGCTGCCCCATGTCCACTCAGCAACTCTGTATGCGCCAGGCCCTGTCCTAGCTGAGCTCCTATTCCAGTGGGGGACACAGTAAAGACAGTAGGTAATACATGCTAGGCAGGCACAGAGAAAGCGCCACAGGGAGGGGGTTGCACTTTTGGGTAGAGTCGCCAGGAAAGGTTTTTTTTTTTTTGGAGTACATTTTCTTTTCTTTTTTTTTTTTTAATGTTATTTATTTATTTATTTGAGAGAGAGTGAGAGTGAGAGAGAACAGAGGGAGAGGGAGAAGCAGACCTGCCACTGAGGAGGGAGCCTGATGTGGGGCTCAAATCCCAGGACCCTGAGATCATGACCTGAGCCAAAGGCAGACCCCCAACCTACTGAGCCACCCAGGTGTCCCAGGAAAGGCATTCTTAAGAAGCTGGAATTGGGGTGCGGGGGCGCCTGGGTGACTCGGTTGAGTGCCCGGCATTTGATTTTGGCTCAGGTCATGATCTCAGGGTCCTGGGATCAAGCCTTAGCAGGGAGTCTGCTTGAGGACTCTCTCTCCCTCTGTCCCTACCTCCCCCCAGCTCGCTCGCTCTCTCAAATAAATAAATCTTTTTAAAAAATCTTAAAAAAAAAAAAAAAGGAATCTGGAATTGGGCTGAAAGATGTGAGGGAAGGAGTGGGCAGTGGGAAGAGCAGGTGCAAAGGCCCTGTGGCAGGCACGTGAGTCTAAGGAGCAGTAGGAGACAGATTTCTGGGCTCAGAGGTCAGTTGCCTGGAGGAACAGTCTAGGCTGAGCCCTTGTGACGGTGTGGACTTGTGGGAAGTTGCCAGAGGGCTGAGTGTGTGTGTACGTGTGTGTGTGGGGGGACAGTTGTCTGTCTGGCTGCTGTGGGGCGACGAGGTGGGAGCAGGCTGACTCCTTAGGAAGTTTGGGAATGATCCAGTCTGGCACAATGGCATTGAACATGGTTAGAGGTCAGAATTTGAAAATTTGTTTTTTATTTAAACTTATTTAACATGTGCTTCTGTGTCACTTACTGGGTACCAGACATCTAGCTGCTGTGCAAATAAACATCAGCTTCTTTATTCCTCATAGCAGCACTATGAGGTGGACTGTCCATTCACAGTGGAAATGGAGGGACGGATAGGGCAGTAACTTGCCATGGAAGAGCCCCCAGGATTTGGTGACAGGATGGAGGGTGGGAGAGGTCAAGGAAGCAGGGAAAGCATCAAGATTTCTAGGGCCACAGCTGGAGGAGAGAGGGCAGGATTAAGTGGAGAGGCTATGGGGGCAGCCTTGGGGGTGAATCTCCTGGTGAGGGTACACGGTGGTAATTGGGCATCACCATGTGGAGAGGGCTCAAGCCCAGGACCCTGCATGAGATCTCCGAGGGGGAAAGGGAACGGAAGAGGCACAGCTGTACAGAGAGGGGCCAGAGAGGAGGGAAGCCCAGTGCAGGGAAGGGGCTTTAACCAGGGGGCTGAGACCTGCTTGCCTTGGGTGAGCCCTTGGGATTGGGGGCCACTCCCCTCCCCCCAGCGTGAGCCTGGCTTCAGGAGAGTCCTGCAGGCCTTCCGTGGCAAGCGAGCTGCATGGAGGCCAGGTTGGCACGGGTCGGAAGTGGTGGCCAGGTGCCTGTCTTCGAATAGCGCCCATCTGAGACTCGACTGTCCTGTCAGGAAGCCAGCTGGGAGTCTCTGTCACCAGCCATGCTGGGCATCAGCGGGCCAAGCAGGTCCTTGTCCCAAGGCTGTAACTGGCTTTCATCAGTCTTACATGCCACAGTGCTTTCCTTCTGCCAATTACGAATCTTTATTTTTTCATTATAAAAGCAACAAATGTCCAAAAAAAAAAAAAAGGTAACAAATGTTGACCATGAAAAAAAAAAACAACCCAAAACCCAGATCCAAAGAAAGGAGCAAATAAGAAAGCTCACTGTTGGGTCTTTAGAGTGACTGCTGTCGCAGCTAACTGAAAGTCTAACAATTAAAACAGGCTCTCACGAATAAAAGGTACGGTAGGAATTGGTCAGGAAGGGCCACAAAAACCTTGTGGTCAGCAAAGTCCTCACAGAAAGGGCAGCAGTCGAGCAGTGATTCAAGGGAACAGTGTTGGGAACAGCGGAGGAAAAACAGTGAGACATCAAACTAGACAATTTGTTCAAGGGACTAAAATGGGGTTCACATTGGCCATACTGGGAAAAAGACAAGAAAGAGGCTGGCGGGTGGGCAGGGCCCATGTACTGGGGACCTCGTACGCCATAAAGCACTTTTTGGTTTTGTATTCTTCAAGGGAATGCTTTTGGTGGTGGTTGTTGCTTAAAACCACCTAACTTTTCTTTTTAATAGTTGTTTCCATGGAAACTTCATTATTTGATATATCATAGTTACCTACATCCTTTTTCTATTATTGGGCAAAAAATAAAAGTTTGAGGGGCGCCTGGGTGGCTCAGTCATTAAGCGCCTGCCTTCGGCTCAGGTCATGATCTCAGGGTCCTGGGATCGAGCCCCGCATCGGGCTCCCTGCTCAGCGGGGAGCCTGCTTCTCCCTCTCTCACTCCCCCTGCTTGTGTTCCCTCTCTCTCTGTGTCTCTCTCTGTCAAATAAATAAAATCTTAATAAATAAATACAGATGCAGGGGCAGGGCCGGTGGGGGGGGTGGTGTCACTCATCAGCTCCTCCTCTGCTGCTGCAGAAAGGGAACCCAGGGAGTGAGCCCTTGTCACCGGCCCATCCTGGCTGGATGCTGGCTGCCCGCTTCCCTCCTGAACACGGGTGGGGACAGGGGATCGAGCCCTGCATTGGACTCCCTGCTCAGCGGGGCGCCTGCTTTCTCCCTCTGCCTACTTGTGCTCTCTCTCTGTGTCAAATAAATCAAATCTTTTTTTTTTTAAGATTTTTATTTATTTATATGAGAGAGAGTGAACATGAGTGGGGGAGGGGCAGAGGCAGAGGGAGAAGCAGGCTCCCCACTGAGCAGGGAGCCCGATGTGGGGCTCGATCCCAGGACCCCGGGACAATGACCTAAGCCGAAGGCAGATGCTTAACGACTGAGCCACCCAGGCGCCCAAATAAATAAAATCTTAAAAAAATATTTCAATATGTAATCAGTGTACAAATTATTAATGAGATGCATGGGTGTTTTGTTGTTGTCATTTGTTTGTTTTTAAGTAGGCTCCACGCCCAACATGAGGGTCAGACTCAGACCCTGAGATCCAGAGCTGTGCACTCCGCAGACTGAGCCCGCCAGGTGCCCCAGGGAGATGCCTGTTTTACCGCCCGCCACATCTTGGTTTGGACTCGCCACCTTCAGCTGCTCAACAGCCACCATCTGGACTGCACGTGTGGAAGTGGAGACAGAAGTCCTAGTGCCGAGAGCCAGCTGATGACGTGGAGGACTGGGAGGTGCCAGGCTCAGCGCCCAGAGGCTTAACTGTGTGAACTCATTGGCTCCCCTCAATCCTTTGAGGGAGAGTCGGTAATAGCCCCACTTTACAGGTGAAGAAACTGAGACGCAGGGGCTTGGGAGCCTTGTTGTGGGTCACAGAGCTGGGAGGGAGGGAGCCAGGGCTCTGGCTAGAGGGGACAGACGCCTCCTCTCTCATTCCAGTGTCGGAGGGTTTTATGCCCCCAACCCCAGCCCCTCATGGGCTCAAACCAGGCTTCTACCGGGCCCCAGGGAGCCTTCCTGCTGAGCAGGCGGAGCGGCCATGGTGGGCAGCTGCTGGGAGCAAGGGGTGTAGGGGAGGCTGTTCACGTGAGGGCCAGGGCGCTGGGCGGGATGGCAGCAGGGCCTGAGCCTGCTGAGTTGCCCCTGACGGTTTGCGAAAGCCCCCAGCCCGGGAGAGGCTTCCGTGCCAGATAGCCAACGAGAGGCGCCCACGGCTGTTCCAGCTGGTGCCTCACCCCCGCATGGCCCTGCGATTTGTCCCAGGCTCTCCCCAGTGCCCCCATTTCTCCCTATTCAGTGCCCACCGTGGTGCCTGAATCCATGGCCACTCTCTCTAAGATTCACGGCCCAGGGAAATGGGCTCTACTTCCCGGTGGCAGGCCTGCAGGGAAGCTGTGGCCATTTTTAATCTACCGTGTAAGTAACTCAAAATGACTTCAGTCTTGCTTAGTGAGAAGCAGCCCAGCTCCCCTTGATGTCTGCAAAGGTGTCGCCTCCTGGTCACTCTCTGCTGTCCCACTGTGGTATAGCATGCATGGCCCTCATCCTCAGCCCAGGTCCCTGCACAGCCCCCTCCTCCCACCCCCAACCCCCTTCTCATCTTCCCCACCCCCTGGGACTCACCCCTGCGTACTTAGTTTCAGTAAATACTACCATGGGCACATCTCATTCTACTTGCTATTTTTTACCATCAGCATTAGTTTCAGGTCTCTCCATCTTGATTTTTGTAGATCTTAGCTCATTTTAAGTGCTCTATTGGATTCCTTTATAAATCGTCTCCTATATCACATTTCAGTCTTTAATTACACATTGGTGGCACTTAGGCTGCTCCCAAGGCTTTGCAAACGTGTAAGAAAGTTCCTCTGAAATTGTGGATCATGGAGGGCCACCATACCCAGTCACTGTTCATCCCCAGCGGCTCCCCCAAATGACCCAAAGGTGGTGCTGGTAGCAGGGCGCAAGGATTCCTGTTCACCCACATCATTGCTTATATCTGATGCCAACCAATCGTCTTCCTGTTGGCTGCTCTCGTTGACGGAAAATGCAGACTGTCTCTTCAGACTCCTCCTGGGCATTCACGGTCTCCCCACTGAGCAATGCCCCATCAGACCCTTTGCCCTTTGATGTTTGGTCTTTCTCATGATGGCCCCTGGATTTCCCATATAGTCTAGTTACTAATCATCAGATTACAAAGATTGCAAAGGTTTTTTCCTATTCTGTCACCCATTTGTAACATTTGTCCATGGTGTCTTTTTGTTCCAAGTGGATTTTTTTTTTAAGTTTATTTGTTTCACACAGAGAGAGAGATTGAACACAAGTGTGGGGGAGGAGCAGAGGGAGGGAGAAGCAGACTCCCCGCTGAGTAGGGATCGCAATTCGGGGCTCGATCCCAGGACCCCGAGATCACGACCCAAGCTGAAGACACATGCTTCACCGACTGAGCCATCCAGGCGCCCCCCAAGTGGATTTTTAAGAGAGATAATTACATACGATAAAATGCATAGATCTTAAGTGTTCCATCCAGTGAGTTTTGACTGATGTCTACGCTCAGGTATAGTTTGCAAGTGCCATCTTCAATACCGGGGAACCAATCATGCCTCCATTTTTCTGCATTAGGAATTAGTATTTTATTAACCTTTTACTGATCCGATTTTGGCTCCTGCATAACATTTTTTGTGTGAGGGACGAAGTGCGCTGCCCGACTCGCGTCCGCCGCGGCTCGGGGCCGGCGCTCGGGCGCCCCCTGCCGCCCATTGTGACGTCGGCCGCCGGCCAGATCCCCGAGGCGGGCAGCGGCGGCGGGACCGAGCCCCTGGAGCCATGGCCGAGACGCAGGAGCTGCTGCTGCAGCTGCAGAAGGACAACCGCGACGGCCGACTACGGAAGCAGGAGCTGGAGGAGCTGGTGCGCGGGCTCGAGGCCGAGAGCGAGAGCCTCACCGGGCGCCTGCAGGACCTGCGCGAGCGCGAGCGCAGGTGTGCGGGAAGGGCGGCTGGATGGGGGCGAGGCGGGCGCACGAGGGTCAGTCTCACGGCAGCGGCACCCGGGCCTGGGCAGAGCCGCCGGCCGGCCGGTGGGTTACTCCTCCCCGCCGGGCCCGAACCTCCGCTCTAGGCCGGCGGGACCTGGACGATCTACTCAGTGCACCCACGAAGGGGAGGGTGCGGCCCCTCGGCGCGGGCTTCCTCGGCCCCATCGCAGCTGGCCTTTTCCGGGGGCCGCGGGAGCCTGAGCACCTGCCGCCTCCCGCGGTGGCACCGCCTCAGTTTCCCCTCTGCAGCCTGCAGCGGAAGCGAAGCCAGGTGGCACGGAGCCTGCGCGGGGAGGCGCGCGAGGCGGCGCGGGAGCGCGTGGAGCGAGCGCGCGGGCTGCTGGAAGCGGCGGAGCAGCACCAGCAGGACTTGGTGGGGGCGGGGCCCTGGATGGGGGCGGGGCCACCGGGGAGGACCGGAGCGGAGCCCTGGATGGGGTACTGCCCGCCGCGAGGCTGGGGTCTCCGAGAAGCCCAGACAGACTCCCTCGACCCTCTCCGCAGAAGCAACACAACCGACAGCTGCAGGAGCAGTGGGAAGAGCTGTCGAGTCAGGTACATTAAGGAGACGGCCCCGGTCTCTAGCTTCCCCTAGGAAGTCCCACTGTCGTCCTCGCCCCCGTTTTCGCCCTGTCCCCGCCTCCCAGGACATTCCCCGCCCCTCGAAGCCCCGCAAACCCCACCCTCCCAAAACCCATCCCTAGCTCTTCTACTACGGAGGGGAACAACTGAGTCAGCAGCGCACCGAGCAGCAACTCGGGACCCAACTGATGGCGTTGCAGGTGTTTGGGTGGGACCCCCAAGGCCGGAGCGGCGGCGCGGGCGGGGCCATGATAACGTGGGGGCGCGGAGGCTCCCTGAGGGGCGGGGGTGGGCAGAGCGGAGGCGTGGGTGGGGACCCGGGCGTCCTGGACTCCTGACATTCCTTGGATCCGTCGGAAGAAACAACTGGAGCTGGTGGAGGCCAAGCACGCCAAGCAGGCGGAGAGCCTGCGGCAGGTGAGGACAGAACCGAGGCCCGAGGGAGAAAGTCGGCTTCGGGTGTGGGTGGAGACTGGGCAGGTGCGGGAGGATGGAGAGGGGTGTGCTACCTCGAGTCTCATCGGGGCTCCCCTCATCCCAGGGCGCGCAGCGGACGGAGGAGGCCTGGGCCAGCTTTCAGGAGCAGAGCGGAGTCCTGCAGGTACCGCCCCCTCCGCCCCGAGAGCCGCTCACGTCCGACTCCCCTCCAACCCGCGAGCTGCGCCCCCCCCACCCCCGCCGCCCCCGGGGTCTCCTACCCCCGTCCTGAGGCCTCACTCCCACTTCCTCCAGGAGCTGCAGGGAAAGGTGACGGAGGCGGCGGCTGCGCTGGACGCCTCGCGGGGCGGCCTGGAGCTGTAAGGGGGCCAGGACTGTGGGGTAAGGTGGGGCGCCAGTGGGGCCGAGTTAGGTCGCCCACCTCGATGCCCTTCCCGGCAGGTGCGACTCCCAGCCTCGCCGGGAGCAGGACTGCGCGGGCTCGCTCATGGAGGAGGTGGCCAAGGCCGACTGTGTGAGCGCGGGCCGGGGCTGGGCGGGCGGGCTGGAGTCGGGCCCCGCCCCGGCCCCGGGCCACCCGCCCCCTCGGGGCCCCGCCTCCCCTCGAGGGCCCGCCCCCCCGACGGACCCGCGACCCCCGGGCCCCGCACTCGGGGTGGGGTGGGGTGGGGGGGTTCTGGTCCTTTACGACTCCCGCCCCCTCCATGAGGGACCCGGAACTCGTGGCGCCCCCGCCCCGGAGCTGAGCTAGACGCCGTTCCCTCCCTCCGCAGGAGAGGCGGCTTTTCACCGGCACTGGCAGGGCGGGCATCAGGTGAGCATGGTGGCAGGCGGCGGGCGCGCTGGGCTCGGGTCCATCCCACGACTTACCCGCCACCTCCCCGCCGCCTGTCCGTCGGTCCTTGGGTCTGCAGGCTGTGGGTGCTGGGCGCGCTGCAGACGCTGCTCTTGCTCCCGCTCGGCGTCCTGGCGCTGCCGCTGCTCTACCTGACGCTCATGAACCCCTTCGCCCTCCGCCGGGGACTCCCGCACTTTGTCTCGGACGCTGCCTTCCGCCGCCTGCGCTACACGCTGTCCCCGCTGCTCGAGCTGCGCGCGCGCGGCCTGCTGCCCGCCTAGCGCGCATCACGCCGGCCGCGGCCGCCTGCACCTCTGTCTCCCGTGTGGTTTCTGGGCGCCTGGGTGGAGGCCGAGGGGGGACTCTCGGGGGTGGGTCATGTGTCCCTTGGCCCAGCGGCCCTGGCACCTCGGGCTCAGTGGGTGCAGGGCTTTCCGGGCGGTTCTTGGATTTGGAGAGGCTGCTCTGGGCGCCCGGTGGCGGAGCCCGCGACTCGGGCCTGAGCAGGGCGCGCCCTCGTCCGGCACCCGCGCCTTGGGGGGGGGGGCTCGCACCAAGGGTTTCCCGGGAGCCCTCCTAGGAGCCCCTTTCCTACAGTCCCTGCTGACGCACCAGAGCCAACTTGGAAGTTGGCCAGTATCTTTTTGCTAAATTTGCTTTTTCTGTGCTAGTGAGCCTTGGGGGCAGAGGAGCAGTCGGGGCAGGCCTTCTCCGTGGAGGTCCGTGGTTCCCCTGGCCCGGCTGCGTGGGGGTTGAGATCCCCGCAGCATCCTTTGGTTTTCTCGGGGCGGGTTGTTCGGGGCGCCGGCCTGGGCATTCCTCTCCTGTGGTCCCCTTGCGGGGCGTGCCAGCTTTGCTGGCTGTGCGCGCTCACCACGGCGGTCTTCGTGGGGAATCGGCTTTTTATTTAGGTGAAGTGTTCTGCTTGGTGAAAATGATGAACCTTGAGTTTTTTTGTCTAATACAGATACTGTCCTACTTTTATTCTTTACGTTTTTTGGTAGTGAAATTGTTCTGTGTTGTGTCCTTTTTGCGGGTGCGCGTGCACACACATCCACACCCATCGACCCTCCCCCCACACACAGGTTTTTGCTGTGGTCTCCGAACAATCGTTTTCTTATTGATGTGTAGGTACTTTTTCTTTTAGTCCTTTTGGGGTTAAATTTGTTTATGTAATCCTGTGTATATATTTCATCAAATTTAGGAATCGTGTGCTGTGTCCTAAAAAAAAAAAATCCATTCTTGTCTAGGAGTCGTAATATTCTCATACGTTAAATACTTTTATTTTTATTTAGTTTTTTTTAGATTTTTTATTTTTTTTAAGATTTTATTTGTTTGACAGAGTAGACACAGCGAGAGAGGGAACACAAGCAGGGGGAGTGGGAGAGGGAGAAGCAGGCTTCCTGCCGACCAGCGAGCCCGATGCGGGGCTCGATCCCAGGACTCTGGGATCATGACCTGAGCTGAAGGCAGACGCTCAACAGCTGAGCCACCTAGGCACCCTTATTTATTTATTTATTTTTAAAGATTTTATTTATTTATTTGACAGAGAGACAGCGAGAGAGGGAACACAAGCAGGGGGAGTGGGAGAGGGAGAAGCAGGCCTCCCGTGGAGCAGGGAGCCCATTGGCGGGGCTCGATCCCAGGACCCTGGGATCATGACCTGAGCCGAAGGCACACGCTTAACCGACTGAGCCACTCAGGCGCCCCCATTAAATATCTTTAATTGGTGTATTTTGTTTATACATTCATTATAACATTTTGTTGCTAACCATTTTATTGATTCATGCATAGATGGGCATTTGGGTTATTTCCACCTTTTGGCTGTGGTGAATAATGCTTCTGTGAACATTGGTGTATAAATATTTGTTTGAGTCCCTACCTTCACTTCTTTTGGGTAAATACACAGACTTGGAACTGCTGGATCATTGGTACTTCTGTGTTTGATGTTTTTGTTTTTTTTTTTTCTTCAAAGATTTTATTTATTTGAGAGAGAGAGAATGAGAGAGAGAGAGCACATGAGAGGGGGGAGGGTCAGAGGGAGAAGCAGGCTCCCCGCTGAGCGGGGAGCCCGATGCGGGACTCGATCCCGGGACTCCAGGATCATGACCTGAGCCGAAGGCAGTCGCCTAACCAACTGAGCCACCCAGGCGCCCTGTGTTTGATGTTTTGAGGACAAAGCGCTATACTGTGTTCCACATTTTACATCTCCATGGCAGTGCAAAAGGGCTCTAATTTCTCCACATCCTCACCATCTATTTTTATTTATTCATTTTAAAAGATTTTATTTATTTATTTGAGAGAGAGCAGGAGGGAGAGGAAGAGAGAATCTGAAGCCGACTCCACGCTGAGTGAAGAGCGGGGGGAGGGCTCGATCCAACCACCTAGCTGAAGCCAAGAGTCAGATGCTTAACCTGAGTCACCCAGGTGCCCCTGTTTTGTTTTTAAAAAAATTTAAATATAATAGCCATCTTCAGGAGTGTGATTTTTTTTTTTTTTGCTTTCAATTTTTAGGGATTGCATTATCTTGTTTTTCTTTTAGATTTTATTTTTATTTTAGAGAGAGAAAGAGCATGAGCTGGGGGAGAGGCAGGGAGAGTCAGAAGGAGAGGGAGAGACTCTCAAGCAAACTGCACTGCTTGAGGAGCCCTGCTGCGGGGCTCGGTCTCAGACCCTGAGATCGTGGCCTGAGCCGAAACCAAGTCAGATGCTCAACTGAGTCACCCAGGTGCCCCAGGCATTGCATTATCTTACTTAGTTTCTTCCAAGTTTTTATTTAAATTTATCTTATTTTTTATAATCTATAACTACAAAATTGAATCTGTGAAATAAGACATCTTAGGGACGTCTAGCTTTTATCCCTGTGCCCTCTACCCTGTTGCCCGCACTCCCTTAGAAGAAACATTAGGTTTTTTGTTTTTTTTTAAAGGATTTTCTTTTTCTTTCTTTCTTTTTTTTTTTTAGATTTTCTTTTTTATTTTTTTTAATTTATTCATTTGAGACACAGAGATACGGGGAGAGAGAGAGAGGGAGAGAGCATGAGCAGGGAGAGAGGCAGAGGGAGAGGGAGAAGCAGGCTCCCCGCTGAGCAGGAAGCCCGATGCGGGGCTCGATGCCAGGACGCTGGGATCATGACCTGAGCCGAAGGCAGACGCTTAACCATCTGAGCCACCCAGGAGCCCTGAAACATTAGGTTTTTTTAATGGACTCTTCTTTTTTCCCCCTTAACTAAGTGATACATACAGTCACGACCTCTTCCCTTTCTTAGATGAACACAGGGCACCACATGGACTTCTCTTGGCTCCCCTTTCAGCACCTGGCTCTGAGAATGTCAGATGAGTTGTGTCCTTTACTCAATGGCAGTGATGCTGGTGGATTCCCATGCTTTGTTATTAAAAACAGTGTCTTGGGGTTCCTGGCTGGCTCAGTCGGTAGAGCATGTGACTCTTGATCTTGGGGTTGTAAGTTTGAGCTCCATGTTGGGTGTAAAGATTAGTTAAAAAATAAAATCTTTAAAATAAAAACAAAACAAAACCCAAGCAGTATCTCAATGAGGAGGCTTCTGCAAACACCTTTGTATTTCGCCAGTCTTTGAGATCGATTCCTAAAAGGGTTTGTGGTCAAAGGGTGATCTCACACATGATAGCGCTGGATACTGCCCAGCTCCTCCTTCCGCTTGGACTGTTTTCCATTCCCACCGTCACTGGATACGACGGCCCCTTTCCCCACAGCCTCAGCCATGGTGCATATTGTCACACTGGGGTCAGTCTGATGGGTGAGAAATGGCACTTCAGTGTAGTTTCATTTGCATTTATCTTATGATCAGGGTTAAGGATATTTTTATATTTCAGGGCCAGTTGCCTTTCTTTCTGTAAATATCATTTGCTTATCTGAAAAATAACAGGATCGCAGGGTTTTATTCTCCCTCAGTTGGCATTTTGAGATCTTTTGTAAATATTTACTGTTTGTCTTGCACTTTGTTCATGGTGTTCTTTTGCTATCCATACATTGTTTTGTAACAATTTACTTTCCTGTATTGATTCTGGATTTTGGTAGGAAAGTTCTCACTTCTAGGTTGTTGAGGAATCTCACCCACGTTGCCTTCTAACGTTTGCATAATTTCATTATTATTTTTTAAAGTAATCTCTACACCCAACGCGGGGCTCAAACTCATGACCTTGAGATCAAGAGTTGCATGCTCTTCCGACCTAGCCAGCCAGGTGCTCCTTGCATGGTTTCTTAGTTCACCTTTCAACCTCTAGTCTAGTTCAGACTTACCATGGTTTATGATGTGCAGATGGTTTGCACTTCTGTAGAAGTTTTAGACTTGGCTTGTCAATTGGGAATGTGAGTATAGTGAATTTAGAGACTATTTTGCAGGGAATTTAGTCTTCCAGTCCTCAAACATGATGCCAATGTCCGGTTTTTATTTATTTCAGCAATGATTTGTATTTTTTTAGTGTAGAAGTCTCACACATCTTTACTTTTATCCCTAGGTATTTTATGTTTTTGGATGCTATTAAAAATGGTCTAGATGTTTTTTTTTTTAATTTTTAAAAAAGATTTTATTTATCTGACAGAGAGACAGCGAGAGAGGGAACACAACACAAGCAGGGGGAGTGGGAGAAGCAGGCTCCCCACTGAGCAGGGAGCCCGATGCGGGGCTCGATCTCAGGACCCCAAGATTATGACCCAAGCGGAAGGCAGCCGCCCAACTGACTGAGCCACCCAGGTGCCCCAGGAAAGGCATTCTTAAGAAGCTGGATGTTTATGAGAGAGATACTGTGCTATGATTATATATATTTTTTAAGATTTTATTTATTTGACAGAGACACAGCGAGAGAGGGAACACAAGCAGGGGGGATGGGAGAGGGAGAAGCAGGCTTCCTGCTGAGCAGGGAGCCCGACACGGGACTCGATCCCAGGACCTTGGGATCATGACCTGAGCCGAAAGCAGATGCTTAACGACTGAGCCACCCTGGCGCCACCTATGATTATATTTTCTTGGCATGTCCTAGTCTTAGGGCTATGCTACCCTCATAAAAATGATTTGGGGAGTGTTCTCTATTTTCTGAGAAAGTGTGTAACATTGGCATTTTTCTTCCTTAAATGTTTAGATCCATCTTGGCTTTATGATGAAAAGAAAAATTACCCCTAATAATTTTTGTTGTTAACACAGAGAAGTGTATGAATCATCAGTGAATTTCCCCAAAGGGAACGCCTCTGTAGAATAAGAAACAGAATGTGACCAGTGCCTTCATTTTCCCTCCTGCCTCCCTGGTTGCTCCCTCCTTCAAACATAACTACTGTCCTGACTTTGGATACCATCAAATAATTATGCCTGTTCTTAAACTTCAAATAAAAAAATGCAGTATGGGGACACCTGGGTGGCTCAGTTGGTTGGGCACCTGCCTTCGGCTCGGATCATGATCTCAGGGTCCTGGGATCAAGCCCCGCATGGGGCTCTTTGCTCCACGGGGAGTCTGCTTCTCCCTCTCCCTCTGCCTGCTGCTCCCCCTGCTTGTGCTCTCTGACAAATAAAATCTTTAAAAAAAATGCGGTATGTATCTTTTTGTGTCTGGATTCTTTTGCTAAACATTGTAAGAGTAGTCCATACTGCCTGCTGCCATGTTCATTTATTTCTATTGCATTTTAGTCTATCACATGAACAACCATAGTTATTTATCTCTTGTTGAAGGGCATTTTGCTCATTTACAGTTTTTTGTTGTTATGAATGGTGTGCCTCACAACAGTCCTATTTGTGTCTTTTGGTGCACAGATTCTGTACCTCTGTTGGGTACCTATCTAGGAGTGGAATTACTGGAGCATGGAGTATGAGATGCTCAGGTTTAGTGGACACTTCAGTTTTCCAAAGTGTTGTACCAATTTACACATCCATCAGCAGCTTCTGAGTGTCTTTGTATATTTCAGACATGCAGGTGGTAAGTAGGTATCACATGTGGCTTTAATCTGCATTTTCATGATGACTGAAATTGAACACCTTTTATTATTATTCGTTGGCTCAGGATAATCTGTTTTGTGCCATGCCTCTTCAGGTTTTTGTCCATTGTTCTAGTCAGTTGTGTCTTAACTGATTGCAAATACCTTCCCAGGTTTTCACACACACACACACACACACACACACACACACACATTTTAAGTAGGTGCCATGCCTAGCATGGAGCCCGACATGGGGCTTGAACTCATGACCCTGAGATCAAGACCTGAGCTGAGATCAAGAGTCAGATGCTTAACTGACTGAGTCACCCAAGCGCCCCAATACATATTTCCTTTATTAAGATTTTATTTATTTGAGAGAGAGTGAGCATGAGCAGGGGGAGAGGCAGAGGGAGAGAGAAAGGGAGAAGCAAACTTTCCGCTGAGCAGGGAGCCTGGTGTGGGGCTCGATCCCAGGCCCCTGGGATCATACCGGAGCTGAAGGCAGATGCTTAACTGACTCAACCACCCAGGTGCCCCGCAATACATATTTTTTTTAAAGCTTATTTATTCATTTTAGGTAATCTCTACACACAATGTGGGGCTCGAACTCATGACCCCAAGATCAAGAGTCACATGCTTTACTGACGGAGCCAGCCAGGAGCCCCTGTCATGCCTTTTCATATAGTTGAAATTAATTTTTCTTTTACGATTAGTGTTTTTGATTCTAAATCTTTTTGTGTCTCGAGGTCATCAAGCCATTCTTTTCAGTATCTTCTCCTAAAGTTCTTTTTTTTTTTTTTTTAAGATTTTATTGGAGAGAGAGGGCGCGCACACAAGCGGGGGGAGGGGCAGAGGGAGAAGCAGGCTCCCTGCTGAGCGCAGAGCCCAACATGGGGCTCGATCCCAGGACCCTAAGATCATGACCTGAGCTGAAGTCAGATGCTTAACCGACTGAGCCACCCAGATACCCCTCTCCTAAAAGTCTTTAAAGTTTACCTTGAACATACAGCTCTACAGTCCACCTGGAATTTTTATGTCTGATGTGAGCTGGGCAGTGATTATATTTGTGTGTGTGTTTTTTTTAAGATTTTATTTATTTGACAGGAGAGACAGCGAGAGAGGTAACACAAGCAGGGAGAGTGGGAGAGGGAGAAGCAGGCTCCCCGCAGAGCAGGGAGCCCAATGCGGGACTCAATCCCAGGACCCTGGGACCATGACCTGAGCCAAAGACAGACGCTCAATGGCTGAGCCACCCAGGTGCCCCTGTATTTGTTTTTCTATAGTGGTATCCAGCTGACGCAACACCATTATTGAAAAGACCATCCTTCCCCTGCTGCCCTGCAGTGTCTCTATGTATGGGTCTGTTCCTGGACTTCTCTTCCATTGTAAGGCACATTGTCTTAACTTGTGTAGCTTAAGGATGTCTTGATATATAGGCTTGTTGGTCTTTAAAATCAAAATAGCTATATTTTGACCTTTGTATTCTCCCATTAATTTTTTTTTAAAGATTTTATTTGAGAGAGAAAGATGAGATAGAGAAAGCAGGAGCGGGGAGGAGAGGGAGAAGCAGGCTCCCTGGGAGCCTGATGTGGGGCTTGATCCCAGGACCCTGAGATCATGCCCTGAGCCCAAGGCAGATGCTTAACGACTGAGCCATCCAGGCAGGCGCCCGCCCCTTCTCTATAAATTTTAGACATGCCAATTTCCACCACAGAACTTTCCAGGATTTCGACTGGCATTTATAGTGAAACTACAGATCAGTTTGGGGAGAACAAACATCTGTATGATGTTGAGTCTTCCAATCCATGAATATGTTACTGTTTGTTTAGATCTTCTCTCAGCATTTGTAGTTTTCAATATTTCTTAGGAATCTCTCATCAGATTTCTTGATATTTGGTGTTTTAGGATCCAACTGTAAATGATTCTGTTTTAGTTTGTCATCGTGAGGTACATGTTGTACACATACACACGACTTGACTTTCGTATATGAACCTGTATCCTATTGCCTTGACTAGAGACCATATTTATGGATTATTTGGATTTTCATGTACACAAATGCCATTTCTGAGTTTTGTTTTTTCCTTTCCAGATTCTAAAACTGTTTCCTTTTACTCCCTGACGGGGCCGCGAGGGCCTCCAGCACAATGCCGAGCAGAGGCTGTGACAGCAGGCACGTGCGCACTTTGTTCTTTGGGGATGGCTTTATTTCTAGTACACCGGATCCTGAGTGTAGACCGAGCTTCTCTAATGAACTCCTCAGAGGCGGGCTCTTGGGTTGGTCTTTTGTCACCAGTGTCATCAAAACAGGAACGTTACTCTTTTTTGAAATTTCATTTTGTCTTTAGTCTCTAAAGAGCCCTCTTTTCTTTTCTTTTTTTTTTAAGATTTTATTTATTTATTTGAGACAGAGAGAATGAGAGACAGAGAGCATGAGAGGGAGGAGGGTCAGAGGGAGAAGCAGACTCCCTGCCGAGCAGGGAGCCCAATGCGGGACTCGATTCCGGGACTCCAGGATCATGACCTGAGCCGAAGGCAGTCGCTTAACCAACTGAGGCACCCAGGCGCCCAGAGCCCTTATTTTCTTATTAGCTCATGGATTTAGATTTTCTTGCCAGTATTATAAACAGCATTTCTAATTTTTCAAGACATACTATTTGCCATATTGCCGGAATCTTGTATGTAGCATTTGACTGACTTCCTTTTTTAACACCGATTTGGTAAGTCTTTTCAAGGATTGTGGCTTGAAAACATTTCTGTTATGTTTGAATATATTTCTACCATTTTATAATGTGTTTATCCTGCCTTCTCTATGCTCTCCCAACTCTTATATTTTTTTTTTTTTAAGATTTTTTTTTTTTTTTTAAATCTGAGAGAGAGAATGGGAGACAGAGAGCATGAGAGGGGGAGGATCAGAGGGAGAAGCAGACTCCCCGCCGAGCAGGGAGTCCGACGTGGGACTCGATCCCGGGACTTCAGGATCATGACCTGAACCGAAGGCAGTTGCTTAACCAACTGAGCCACCCAGGCGCCCCACCCTTATATTCTTTTTGATCTTTCTCCAAGTTATACCCTATTTTCTGGTATCTTTTTTTTTTTTTTCTTAAGGAAGCTCTAGGCCCAAAGTGGGGCTGGAACTCACAACTCCCAAGATCAAGAGCCGCATGCTCTACCGGCTGAGCCAGCCAGGCGCCCCTCTGGTATCTTTTCTCCTTGAACTTGGCTATCTCTACCATCTGCCCCAGCCACTGCCTTAAAGCATGTGGACTCTGGTCATTGCCTCAGATCTTCCATGTACTTTGCATTTTAGTTCTATTCTTTTAATTTCTAAATATTTAGGGTTCTTCCAGATAGCTTTATCGTTACTGATTGCTAATTCAATTCCGTGGAATCAGAGAACAAACACATGCTGCGTGACGCTGAGACTTGCCTTGAGGCCCAGCAGCCAGCCAGCCTATGGCGGCAGAGAGGATTGGGTGGGGGGGATGATGGTGGAGGAGGGGATGACTGGGGGCGGGGAGGGGGGGGGACGGCGGAGCGCTGCTGCAGTGGCCAGAGTGGGTTTATACATGGCTGTCAGGTCAGGCAGGTGGCTGGATGTTCAGGTCTCCTGCTTTCACTTTCTTTCCAGTTGTTCTATCAACTGTGGAGAGAGGGCTGTTAAAATTTCCAACTCTAACTGTGGAATTGTTTGAATTCTGTCAAATTTTGCTTCATAAACTCAACACAATTGCAGGCAGTAAATCCTTTTTTCTCTCTGTTTTTCACCTTAGGGTTATGGCTTTAGATTCAAAGTGCCTCTTCCTCAGCATCTCCTTGGTTCTTTGTCCTTCATCCACGTTGCCATCCTGCATTTAACTGCAGTGGTTAGTCCGTTGATATGTAACGTAATTAAAGATGCAACTAGATTGAAGTAGGCTGTCACAGGATTACTCTGTCCCATCTGTTATTTCTTCCTCTTCCTTTCCTGCCTTCTTTTGGATTTTTTTAACTTACATATTGGCTTTTTTTTTTTTAAGATTTATTTATTTTAGAGAGAGCATGAGCAGGGGGAGGGGCAGCGGGAGGAGAGAGAGACTCCTCAAGCCAACTCCCCACTGAGTGCAGAGCCGAATGTGGGGCTTGATCCCAGGACCCTGAGATCACGACCTGAGCCAAAACCAAGAATTGGACGCTCAACCGACTGAGCCACCCCAGTGCCCCTTGGCTTCTTTTTTATATTCTTATTTATACTGCTCAGGACTCAACTGTGCTTCCTGAAGCTGAGTGTTTGTGTTTCTCATCACCTCCGGAATCTCACTAGAAGCTAACTGGAGTTTCTCCTTCAACTTCCCTTTTCTCTTCATTTTTGGTAATTTTGTTCTCTTGTTGATCGGTAACTGCTCTTTTGCATTTTTAACTTTAGTGACTTATTTCTAGTTGCTCTGTGTCATCTTCCTTTTTAGTTTGGGGTCTTTACCTCCTGTCTGCTGAAAGTCCTAGAGGCCCTAGGGGGTAGGGGCAGATGGCTGCAGGAAGGTTTCAGAGTCCCAGAGCAGAGGCAGGACAGGGAGCCCCACTGTGCTGACAAGAGACAGAGAGACGCGGATGGGAAAGTCAGGGGGCCCCTACGAGAGCTGGAACAGAGCAGTGTTATTTGCGGTGCCCCTGGCCCCCCCAGAGGCTTCCTGGCCGGCTGCACTGAGCCCCCCCTCGTCCCTATACTGCCGTGCTCCCTTCCCAGCACATCCAGGAATCACCCCTTGGCTGAACGTACACCTGGACTCCACACTTTTGTTGTTTTATTTTGTTCACATTGGTTAAATCTTAAATTGAATATAATTTTTTATACACAAAATACTTCATGTACCTATGCAATAAGACAGGTAGGGAATGTGTTGGGAATGTGTCCAGTGCAAATGAAGTATTCACACCCATGCAGAGAGTGTCCTCAGATGATTGTCATTTCAGCCTCACATGTCACTTGTGGGTCACGCCAGGAAGGAGTGGATTGCCAGGCTCGGCATGGTGTACTTTTGTCCTATTTATCCTATAAAAATAACTCTAATGGATGGAATGATGGGGCTACCGGCAGCTCACCCCCTTTGAACACATGCGGCAGCCGGGGTGGGGATGTGCTTGCTCGGCTCCACGATTGCGGGACGGCTTGCGGGGGGTGGTGGCCGTAACCGCTGGTCCGGCCGCACCCTCAGTAGGGGATGTCATTCTGATAGTACTGGATCATGTCATAGGTCCGGCTCCTGGAAGGAGAGCGGAGGGAGGCTGTAGAAGACCGTCTGGTTCTGGGGCCCTTTACCCCTGAGTCTTTCACGACTGCCTGGAAAGCTGCACTTAGCAGGTGTCCCTTTTCCCCTCCCTGAAGATGCAAATGTAAGCAGGCAGGCCCTGTGGCCTGCCTGCCAGCCCTTCTTCCAGGGCACATGCCTTCCCCCACCAGTGACCACGGCTATGTGAGCCCCATTCTGCTCTGTCTCCTGCCGGGCCTCCTCAGCCAAATGCCTGCCCTCTGTCCTAGGCTTAGGCCCTGGGCCTGGGAATCCATCGATAGGAGCTGTCCCCATTTCAGGTGCCACTCTGGCCCCTCGCCTGGCATGTGGCACATGAATGAGACCCTGTCCTCCTCCCCCGTCACACCTCCCAGCACAAGCCTTACTCTGCCAACAAAACAATCAGAAGAGACCTCCCTTGTCCTGCCCTCTAAACCCCTCTTGTCGGGTTTCCATGCTTGCCCTTGAGCTACTTTCTGTTTCTCTGCTCCCATCAGGCCCACCCTGCATGGCTCTCAGGGTTCCTCTCAGATTCCATGTCTGCAGGGGATCAGGGTGGGTAAGCTCAGCTCCACTTCCACCCAGGTGCTCAGTCCAGGCTCTGCCTTCAGAACCAGACCCCACCTCTTCTCACGGCTCCCCTGTCATAATGGCCGACTGGCCTGGTCCCACCCCGCCCCGCCTGAGGAAGATGTGGGGAAGCAGGGGTGGGGCCGAGGCCACCCAGAGCTCTTTCTGCTCCTCACCCAGCCTGCTGGGCTGTGCTTACCATGTCCCCCCCGCCCCCCCTGCACTTGCAGCTCGCTTGGCCTCACAGCCTGGGCCCCATGTGGGGAATGTGCCTTGAGGCTTCTGTTGGGTGTTCCCCTCAGCACATCCCTGGCCCCTCTAACCCAATACCCCGTCACCTGTGAGGGCTCCCTTCAGGACCTGTGGAACAGAGAGTCCCCTGGGACAGCAGCATCCCCGTCACTCAGCCTGGGCGTGGTGGCCCTATGCAGGTGCCCAGAGAACACTGGTGTGTGGCAGGTGGCTCACCTGTTGCTGAGGAAGCAGCTCTGAATGACCTTCATGATGAAATTCGCAGCCTCTCTCTCAGTCATGTTGGGGCTGAACCTGTGCCTGGGGGCAAGGGCCACGTCAGGGCTGCCACTGCGGTCCCGCACCCTTGAGGATGCTTTCCCTGTGGGGGTGTGGTCTTGCTAATAGACCACTTAGCATTTGTGGTAATTTGTTCATGAGGGTTGGCCCAGGGCATGCTCCCTCTTGGGAACAGTTGTAAGGGGCAGGGACACTGTCCCCAGCTGGCCCTGGAGGGCCTGTCCCCTTCCCCAGCACCTCCTGGGCTGTGTGGCCCCAGGGCTGGGGGAGGACCAACCTGGGGCTAAGCCACTGCAGCCTCAGACCTGGAGGCAGGGGCTGGCCCTGCATCCTTGAGAAATGAAGGGACCCCTGGGATGTCTGCAGCCCTGGTGTGGTGACAGGGTCTCACCCAGGAACCCTGTCTGCTCTGGGGTTCCCAGGAGAGCACGTGGCCTTGATAATGATTGCATTCACCAGCACTCAGGAGGCTCTCACCCAGAGAGGACAACAGCCCCCAAATGGCCTGTGCATGTGCCCAGGACCTACTTCAAAAGCTTGATTGTCTGGCCACGGAAGCAGGGCAGGCCCGTGTCCAACATGAGAGTGACCAGAGAGACGACTGCATCCATGTAGGGCCTGCGGGGAAGGAAGGGGAAGGAGGCTGGCCTGAGCAGGCTGGCCTTGCCCGCCGTCCTGCAGTGCAGCCCCACCGGACAGCTGCCCACCTCCCCGCACCGCTGCGGCTCACCAGGGCAGCCCCTGCGGCGGCCGGGCGGGGGCTGCTCACACACCCTGGGCCCGGCTGAGCGATGTGCCTTGGTCCGCCCACCCCAGGCCTCCAGCCACGCTTTCCGTGGCTGGCTGAGGAAGTGCAGGTGGGCACTGCGAGCACAGCCTGACCCTCCAAGGGGGTGTGACACAGGCTCCAACAGACTCGGGGTTGGAGTTCAGGTGCCACAACAGTATTGTGTGGCTTTGGCCATGTGACACTCTGAAGCCAGGAAAGTAAGTCTTCAGCATGCAGCCTGGGGGATGGCGGATGCTCAGGCTTGGGCGAAGGGGTGAATGGGGTGCTCAGAGCAGGGAGCCCAAGGTGTTGGCAGGCAAGGCCACACACAGGAGACTACAGAACATGGCGGGCCACTGACACCCAGAGCAGGTGGGCAGAGCGGAGACAGGAAGGCAAGGCCCGAGCTCCCCAGCCTCTAGCACCTGCCTTGCTCTCTGAACTGCAGCCCCTCCGTCCACAAAGGGGCCTGAGAAGGTCCCATGGGACCTCTGGAGGCTGGCCTTGTGGGATTAAGTGGCAACCAGGACTGGTGCCAGCCTGCCCACCTTCCTCCCCATGGTCTTGGTACCCCCACTGGCCCTTCCCTGGGGCTCACCGCACAGCCAGGTAGCCACGGACACACATCTCCATGAACCACTTGAAGGGCGTGGCCTCCATCTTGCCCCCCATGATCATCACCATCTCATCGGTCAGCTTGATGTCTGGTTCCCAGCCAAGGTTGCCGCCCGGTGAGCTTTCGAACATGAAGCCAAAGTCTGCAAAACCCCCAAAGCCATTCTTGATGGGACCAAGTTCCAGGGCCAGGTGTGGGTGTGCTTTGTGCTTCAGCCAGGGCTTGGGGCCACGGCTCCCACACTCCATGAGCTGGCCACAGGCCGTGTTTTCCTGGGGCTGGCAGGGGCGGGTGGTGGCAAGCAGCCAGGAGAGAAAAGAGGAAGTGGAGGTGGGGAGCCAGGCTGGAGCAGAAATGAGGCTGGCCCCGGGGCTGGGTGACCATGCCCTGCGGTCCTGCTGCTACTTGCACCCCAAGCCCCGCAAGCCCAATAGCTTGGGCCCCAAAGCTGAACTCAAACCTGACCCGGGCCCTTCCCGGCTGGGTGACCCCAGCATGCCTGGCTCTTCTGTGGGGTGGGGACTGCTATCCTGCCCCAGGCTCTAGGGGGTGAAGGGAAAGGAAGAGGGCGGCGCTGGGGCCCGGCTGACCGATGTGGATGATGTGGCCCTTCTTGTCCAACATGATGTTCCCGTTGTGCCTGTCCTTGATCTGCAGCAGGAACAGCAGGAGGCTGTAGGCAGCCATGCTCCGGATAAAGTTGTAGCGCGCCTGCATGGAAAGAGCCCAGGTGCTCACAGATGGTCCCCGTGCACCTCCCGGGGCCTGGCGGGAGTTCTCCTGCCTCCCTGCCTGGGACTCCGAGGCTTGGGGATGTTCTCTGGGCTCTCGTTCCCAGCCTTGAAGGCAGAGACCAAATCAGCAAGCCAGATCTTGGAAACAGGACAAGTGACTGCATCTGGGGGTGCAGAGGCAGCAACCCTTTCCTCCCACACCCACGAACTCGCTTTCTCCTGGGGAGTCCATCTCAAGGTTCCTTTGAATCCCAAGGAAGGTTGTGGGGTACCCTGGTTTTACCCCCAAACGTGAAAAGACTCAGAAAAGCAGGGCAAGAGGGAAGCAGGGTGCTGGCCCACAGGCAGTGCCGGGGGCGGGCGGGATGGCGCGTGCAAGCCGTCTCTGGTCTAGGGGCTGCCCTGTCGCTCACCTGCTGGAAGGCCAGCGTTGACTCGTCCCCGTACTGGCGCGTGAAGTAGTCGTACATGCCGAAGTCTGTCTGGCGGCCCAGCTGGTCCCGAGAGGTACAGTCGGGGATGCACTCAATCACTCCACACTGGGGAGGAAGGGCCAGATGCCGAGGCCTGCAGGCGGGGCTTCTCTCAGCCTGAGGCATGGGGAACTGCCCCGGGGCTCCCGCACAGGGAACTCACCCCGGGGGCGGTGGCCACCACACGGTAGGGGAAGACAAAGAGGTCCAGGCCAACCAGCTGGAAGATGTTCTTGAAAAGGTCAATAATCTGCAGAGCCAGCATGTCCTGGAGACCAGGGAGGCATGGGCTGGTCAGCTGGCCGCCTCCTGTGCTCTAGTCCAGCCGACCCCCAGCAGCCCTGCCAGTGAGGAGGGGGTAGGGAAGGAGGTGATGGCCGAGCAGGGGCCTGGAGTGTCTGGCCTCACCGCACACCATGCTGGGCCAGGCTCAGGACCATCCAGCACTGGGCTGAACCGAGGCCGCGCTGTCCAGTGGGGGATGCGAGTCAGGGACACCTGCCTCCCGGGGCAGTTCCCTCTGAGTGGTAGGGGATGGACAGTGGATGGGAGCCGCTGGAGAGGTCCCTGGGTTAGGCAGAAAGCCCCGATTTCCTCTGTGGCACCTCCACCCAACGTGAGAAGCCAAGCTCTGGTTCCGCGCACGAGGTGCCTCAGGGAGGCCAGGCCTGGCTGCTCGCTACCTGCCGGCAGTCGTCTCCCACTTTGAAGATGGCTGCCTGCCACGAGATCTTTTGGCTGTCAGCCTCCTGTGTGCCACACTCATCCTCGGAGTCCGAGCAGCACCGCAGACCTGCATACGGGGCAGAGAGGCAGCCTATTAGCCTGGAGGCCGGGAGAGGCCCTCTGTGGGGGCCAGGGCAAGCCCTGCTCACAGGCCCAGAACCCTAGGAACCTTGGGGATTGTCTCTGCAAAGCCCCAAGGAGGCCAAAGAGGCTCAGGAGACACCCAGGGTCAGTGGGTGGAGCCACAGGGCCTGGGGTCTCTTCCAAAGAATGTTTAGGCTTAAATGGAACTGAAGCTAGAGGCCCCTTTTCACTGGAAGTGGGGGCCCAGGGGTGCCCAGGACCAGCACTGGGAGCTGGGGGGGGGCAGGAGTGTGTGTGTTTATACCCTAGGGTGCCAGGGAGGACTTGGGGGCCAGAGTGCAGGGAAGGCCATGGAAGGCATGTCCCCATACTGGCAGGGGGGCCACACCCCCTCTACTTGGGTTGACTAGTGTCCCCCCAAAATTCATGCCCACTCAAAACCACAGAATTGACCTTATTTGGAAATAGGATCTTTGCCCATACAGTCAAGTTCATGAGAATTAGGGTGGGCCCTTATCAGAGCACACAGGGAGAAAGCCTTGTGAGGGCAGAGGCAGAGGTGGGAGTGACGCAGAGGATTGCCAAGGCTTGCCGGCAAGCACCGGAAGCTGGGAGAAAGACATGGAACAGATTCTCCCCCAGAACCCTTCAGAAAGAGCACAGCCATGCCTACACCCTGATGTCGCACTTCAGGCCTCCAGAACCGTGGGGGAATACATCTCTGTGTCGCTTGCACGGCACCCCCTGAAGCCCTGGGCCAATCAGCCTCAGGAAGGTGCCTCCTGCACTTGATGGCTGACCTGGGGCCGGCCTCCAGGGCTCTGTCACTACACCAGCTCCATGCCATTCCTAAACTGGGGCCCAGACTGAGAGCGGAGGGACATCACCTTTCACAGGGAGCTGGTCATAAACTAAACACGCCCAAGGAAACTGGCATCATCCAGGGAAAACACTTAGATCCCAAACTGTGTCAGAGATTCTTCACTGACCTTCTTTTTCAAGTTCACTAACTCCACATCGTTTCACCTTAAATTTAGCCAGATACGGGGCTTTAGCAGCACTGAAAGACAACAGAAGGAACATGGCATGGGTGCTGGGGCAAAGGAGAACTGGGTGTAAGGGAGCTGCCAGACGGCAGGCCACCTCTTACCTCTGCATGGGCGTCCCGGACTTGTAGTCGATGTCCAGTACGATGGCCTCAGGGTTGCTGGGCAGGTAGCAGCCTGTGCAGGGACAGAGTGCAAGTCACAGGGAGCCCAAGTGTGACCTCCCTCTCCCCCCAGACGGGGCTTCTAGGTCTTCCTCTGGGGCACCGATAACATCTTATCCTGTGGTCGTTAAGGGTCTGTCCTCCCTGATCTGTGGTCTTTCCCTGGGTCCTTCCTGATATCTAACAAAAGAGCTGCCACCTCCCAGGAGACACTTCTCCAGGAGGATGCACCAACCCTCAGCTTCACAGACCTAGCACGCTGCTCCTCGGAGCCCCACCGGCCACTCAATGTGGGGTACGGGGCTGCCTGCTCTGATAGGGCACACGCGGGAGCTTCCTACCCTGCCTCTGTGCACCCGGAACCCCTCAGTTCTTGGATTCACCCCACTGACTCTTGCTCCCTTTTCTCAGCACACACATTAAGTGGGGAGGACAAGAGAAAGCCCATTCCTGGTCAAGGAGCTGGCAGTCCACCCCCCACCCCCCACCGTGAGACACAGAGAGAGTGTGTGTGTGTGTGTGGCCACCTTCCCTGGGCCCCATGCCCACCCTACCCGCCCGCAGGAAGAAGCCCAGCTCATCAGCCGACTGGGGCCTGCTCACCCGGCTGCACTTTCACTTCAGACAGAGCTGACAGGCATGCCTTCTTCCTCTCGTCGCCTTTAGGGTAGGGCCTGAGAAACAGGACAGACATGCTTTGCTTTGTCACTGCAGGAACTGGCCTCTGGGGTTTCTGGGGGCAGGCAGGGCCCCTCCTGTCTGCCTCTCCGTTCCTTTCCTCTTAGTTCTAGCTACTACTGAGGGCCCTGCGAGGCCCAGCTCTTCCGGGAGGCCACTCTGAGGGATCCTTGCCCCACACTCATCAGGGGCCGTGCGGCCCCTGGGGGACTGAGGTGGAGTTTTCTGGCTGTCCTTCCCCCTCACTTGTGTGTGGTGTGTGATGTTGCTGTCGGAGACACACACAGGGGACACAGCTGGCTCTGGGGCCTATGCTCAAGTGCTGGTCCTATTGTTTACTTGCAGCATGACCTTGGCAGGGCCCTCCGACCTCCTACATCCGCAGGACGAGGATGACAGGGTGGAGTGGAACCAGGTGCCTGGAGGGACACCCAGGGAATGCCCCCCCCCACCCCTTGAGGCCTCTGTGGGCTAGAAGCTGCTGCATCACCACTGTACTTCATACTGGGCCCAGGAAAGGGCCTCAGGACATATGGGTGAGGCCACCTGGTGACCAAGATGAGAGAGGCCTGAGCACCAGGGACAGCCCGGGCAATGAGGCACCCAGGAGGACAGGCAGCCAGTGCTCCCCTGCTGGGGCCTCCCCTAGGCCCTTGGCCAGTTGATGACTCCAGGGCCCCACCCCACACAAACAGGCAGGGCCACCAATGCCCAAGGATGGCGTCAGCCCTCATACATGGACGGCCCAGGAGGTAAATCAGTAAAACGACACTGGGAGCTACAAAGGAGTCTGGTTTTCCTAATACCCTGGGTCCCTTCGAACTTGGAGAGCAGAGTGGCCTCAAACCACGGGACACTATCCAGAAGGAAACTATGACAGGTTTTCTGAAATTTGCATGGCTGTGCATTTTGCTCTATTTCCAAGAGACCGGACTTGCCAGGGCAGAGATTCCCAACCCTGGTTGTTCATTAGAATCAGCGGGGGCCCTCCAGGCAATTCCCACGAGCCAGGACTGAGAGATGCCACTTACTTGATGATGGCTGACACGTTGGTGATCTTGTTAAAGAAATCAAATTCCCGCTGGTAGAAGTCCTTGGCTGGGCCCGACAAGGAGCCAGTGATCTCCTCCACTAACTGCTCCAAGAGGTCACCGATGTCAGCTGACAGAGAAACCAAGAGGGTGAGCCTGCAGCTGGGCCACCGAAGGCCCTCAAGGAAACCCCACGTTTGCCAGATGTGCAGTCCAGGTGTTCAGGTGTTCCCCAGCACCCAGGCCAGCTCAGCTGCCCCGAGAGTGTGGTCTGTAACTGCCTGGAGGGTCCCTGGGACCCTTCAAGAACCCCCAGTCAAACCACACCGATAGGCTGTTTGCTCTCCTTGCTGTGTAGATGCTTGCGAGGCTGGGCACAGTTGGCCAAGATGCTAGTGGTCACTGGATCCTCATGGCTCTGCTCCCGTGGTGTGAACAAAAGCCAGTGTCACTAAGAATGTCCCTGGTAAGGCAATAAGCAAGGACTAATTTGATGACACTCTACCCCGAAGACATTTCTGTGATGCTCTGTGTGATGACACGGAAGTCACGCAGCAGTCGGCCGCGTGTGAAGTACGCAGGCGCTGTGCTCCCGTGGAAAAGCGCCTTGCGTTGGGACTTTCCAACTGACCTAACTTCTTGTTTCAGGGAACACCATTTTTACTTAGAAGAGTGACCGACGGACAAAAATATAGTTATTTGGACTTAGGTATATGGCAGGTATTTTCTTGAAAATGACCAAGGTGAATCTGCCATTTAAGGAAAACGACTAAGTTTTGGGAAACCTGCATCTGTGACTGTGAGCTTGACAGCTTCCCAGCACTTGAAAATGTTTCTGGTTTGTAAGACCAGTGGGGCATTCACACGTGTGATTTTTAATGTTGCAAAGTCCTGCGGGGGGCGGGTGTGGGTGTGAGCGCTGCGTAGACCAATGGACTTCAAAGGAAGAGCATGAGAAACTCGCTGACATGAGTTCAAATCCACATTGCAATTAATCATTAAGAGCCTATCACTTGTGTTTCGTGCAGTACCAACTGAGACTATCTGTAGTGACCAGAAAGACAACTACAATCCCCCTTCCTTTTCCAGCTCCATGTCTGCGTGGAGCTGAATTCCCTGCATTGACTTCAACCAAAACAGCATATTCCAACAGGTTAAATGCAGAAGTGGAAGGGGATCCTGCTGTCTTTTACTGCAGAAAGATGTTATGACATTACAGACACTAAAGAGATCTGCAAAACTGTAAAGCAACACTCTCACTCCTTTTTGAATTATTTTTCACAAAAATATGTTATTTATGTTAACATGCTTAACTTTTTTAAATGTCTTGGTTTTACTGTCCAACACTGGTTAACATTGAGAACTAAAGCCTGTGTAAACCAAAGCTCTCTGGGGGCCTCACTAGTTTTTAAGGGTGGGAAGATGTGGACAAGCTCTGTTTGAGAACTGTTTGCCCTGGGTGGCTGCCTCGTCCCCACATGGAATTGCTAGGTCAAGGGCAGGGTGAGAAGAAGCTCTCGAATGTGCTTAGAGCTGCAGGACAGTGCCAGGGTAGGCAGGGTGTCTGCAGGTGAGGTTAGCAAAGGCTTCATGAAGGAGGGGGTCCTGCTCCCGCTGGGTGTTAAAGATGAGGCGTTCCCACTAAAGGATGGGAAGCAGAGGGATGGGCTGGGGCAGCACAGGTCCTGGAGGGCTCTGGAGGCGGGTGAGGACTGAGGGAAGGTGACAAATACTCACGGTCTTTCTGGTGCCCTTCTTCATCCAGATAGATGTTAGTTTTCATGTTCCAGATAAACTGGTGTGCCAGAAGCTGGGATTTGGATGCTGCCCACAGAATATACTCTCGCACGTAGCCCATCTATAGGAGAGCAGGGTCACCATCAGCCCAGGCCTGGACACCTCTCCACTGAGAGAGACTCTAACCTGGTGCAGGAGTGGACTCCCAGCACTTGCAGACCTAGCAAGAAGTGAGGACCAGTGGTTTCCGGCTGTGTGAGCAAGCGCACCCGGGGATGTGTGAGCCCAGTCCAGGGACTAGGCCAAGGTCTAGCTTGCTAGCTGGCCGACAGGGCAGATGGGGCCCCAGGCGGTGGGGTCTGCAAAACAGGAAGGAGCCAGCTTTTGTTTCCTCTGTGCTCTCCCCTGGACTCTTAAGAACCATAACTCTCTAAGAACCAGAACTCTCGATTTCTGCTGTTGTCAAGTATGAGGAATGAGTAGGCTGGGTACCTAAACTCAGCTATAAACTGGTTGTTTGGAACAATGTTCCGCAGTGATGGGCAGGTTCCAGAAAATTCTAACACACAGACACTTCTTCATGAGTTGACACACCATGACCACTATCCTAAGGACCTCTCCTCTTTCTCCTTCTTAGTCATGTTCTGCTACTCGTAGCTCCAGTTTTAATTACCCTGTCCAAAAGTTAAAAAAGGTGCTGGCCTTTCTGGAAGACTTCTGAAGGAGTGGCCTCTCCCCCGACCACTATAGTTTGTGGCCCCTGCATCTGGTAAAGTAGTCTTTGGATAGATGTCCTCAACTTGGCTGGGTGGGCTTACCAAGCAGGTCAAATTTCAAATAATTTCCCAGTGCGAGCCCAGCAAAAGGATCTAAAGATAAACTATGAATGTTCAACTTACAGTGTGTTTAAATAAAAGTTTGCGGAGCTTCTGGGCTGGTGGAGGTGTGGGGAGAGCCATGCGCCCGAAGAGCATGGAAGCTCTGCAACCTTCCCACATCCCTTGCCCTATGCTGCCCTTCCACCTGGCTGTTCCTGAGTTATGTCCTTTTACGACAGTAATGTGGTCAGTTTTGCCGATACCACAGAGGGGACTCAATGAAGTAATGAACACACTATCACAGGGAGGTGGAGGCAGGCAGCCGTCTGAGCAAGGAGGAAGTGTCATCAGTCACTGAGGCCCATGGAGCCTTCTAGCTTTGGGAAAGGTTTTAGCATTTCATCCCTGTGCGGTTCTTAATGAATTTAATATCTGCCTTGCCAGACAATTTGGTTGAAAACAAATCCATGTTTGCTTTATAACTAATTATATAAGCAATGAGATAATTCCAAAGTCAAAAAAATTACTAAGTATGGCCACTTCCATCCTGTCTGCTCCCTCTTCAGCCATTTTTACTAGTTTTGGTTTATCCTTCTCTAAAAAACAATATAAGCAAATACATTTGTATCCCATCAAGCTCAGACTTCAACAACAACAACAACAAAAACCCTAGAAATGGAAAGCAAGAAAGAAACCAATGAAGCTAGCTGAGTCTTGAGTTGACATAACCTCACAGAGAAGAATCATTTCAAGTGACTTAAAATTGAGTAATTTGCGGGGGACATGGGTGGCTTAGTCGGTTAAGTGTCCGACTCTTGATTTCAGCTCAGGTCATGATCTTGAGGTCATGAGATTGAGCCCCACGTTGGGCTCTGTGCTGGGTGTGGAGCCTGCTTGGGATTCTCTCTCCCCCTCTCCCTGCCTCCTGCTTGTGCATGCACCCTCTCTCAAAAAATAAAAAAAGAATTGAGTAATCTAGGGACTATGGTTTTGCCACAGCTTATCTGTCCCAGATTGCAATTCTCTTTTATTCCCAAATAAACCCATGTTTTGCTGAAAAGATGAAATTAAAAAACAAAAACAAAAAACGAGTAATCTGACTGTATATTCCCAGTGGAAAATATACCAAGAACAAAAGACAAAAAAATCTGACCCAGTTTTTAGTAATCGTGTTGTAATAATATAAGTATTGTTACTTTGAAACTATTAATATAGTGGAATAATGCAAAGAAATGGTATGTTAATGTTATTAGAAACCAATATTTTTAGTATTAAAAGATTCAAACATAAACTCAACTAAAGTAAAAGACTATAATCCTACATTTGAATTGGAATTATTAGTATACTAAAAAAAAATATTAGTATAATCTCATGATGTATTTCCTCTAAAAAAACAAAACAAAAAAACAAAAGCAAAAAGCTCTATCTACTACAAAGGCCTAGAAACCATGACCAACTCAATGACAGTGACGATTCTTAGCGTTTAGATTACGTTGTCTCAGTAAAATGAATTGGAGTTCCTTGGAAAATGGGTGATTCCAGGTCTGAGGCAGAAAACAAGAAGAGCCTAGAATATCTTGTCCTTTCTGGAAAACAAGGTTATCAAGGACTAAAGATCAAAGAAGGGACACTCGGGGATTCCCAGGAGTTAGAAAGGTGGGCATCAAAAATAACTAGTGGCTTGAGACAGACCAAACACATCAAAATCCATGAGTTTATAATGATATGTGGGAGAAAAAAAGGAGAAGAACTCATAGTCATTTTTGGATAATGCCAAGGAATTAACCCAATTTTGAAAACTAGAAAAAAAAAAAGAGAAAAAAATGTATCAGGATTTTTGTGGTAAGCAGCTTATGTAAAATCATGGCCAAATGAAACCAAGAGCAGCCCGCCTGACTCGCACATGCTGGCCGCGGCCCCCATCCACGCCTCTATGCAAACGGCAGCCCATGGAGGCCCCTGTGGCCACGGGCAGAGCAGAGCACAGAGCAAGCCACCTGGGGAGCGAGGCGTTCTAGGGCTGATGGAAGCAAAGACACAAAGAGTAGAGGGAGAAGATGATGGAGGGGAGGGAGAGGAAATGGGTGCCTGGAGAAAAGGCACATTGTGACGGGCCCCCAAGTGCTGGGCCCTGGCTTGGTGAATAAACTCCGGCAGAGTATCAAAACTACCTGCTCAGAGTTGGAGGGCTTTTGGCAGCTACTGCGCTAAGACAGGACTCAGTCTTTAAAGGCTGGCTACAGGTCTAGAAGCACTCTGGTCTGTGGACTGAGACAGAGCATCCTGCCAATCCGTGGGGAAGCAGCTGGCCCGGGGACACCTAGCCAGTGCTCACTGCCACCACAAGGGCCCAGTCTGACACAGCGGGCTCTGGCGCCCCATGCAGTGCGGAGAGGAATTGGCAGGAGCGGGAAAGGGGCGGCTACTGCTGCTGGACTTAGACTTGAGCACGGGTGGAGGGGGTTGCTGGGATGAAGCACGGGTAGTGTGGGTTCGGGGTTGTGGTCAGCCCCGTGTCAGGGGGATGCTTCTGTGACAGGCTCTGGGCTAGGCATCTCACGTACAGGTATGCTATACATGCAGGGCTGAACTGTGCCCCCCCCCAATCCCCAATTCATGGGTTGAAGTCGTACACGCCTCAGTGTGACAGTGTCTGGAGACGGGCCTTTAAAGAGGTGATTAAATTCAAATGAGATCATTAGGGTGGCATCTAGTCCAAGTGGGGTCCTTATAAGAAGAAGAGATTAGGACACAGACACACAGAGGGAAGACCACATGAGGACACAGGGAGATGGTAGCCATCTGCAAGCCAAGGAGAGAATCCTCAAGAGAAAGCAACCCTATGGGAACCCTGATCTCCAACTTCCAGCCTCCAGAATTGTGAGAAATACATTTAACCCCCCCATTCTGTGGTTCCTTGCTTTGGCAGCCCAAGCACACCAAACATACATCATCTTGTCTGACCCTCCCTGCTTCCCACTGAAGAGACGAGGGAGCTGGATTCAGGGACTGAGGAAGTGGCGGGCAATATTTCTAGAGCCCACTGACCCTGCACAGCAAGACGGGGCCTCAGGGTGAGGTGGGGTGAGGAGGGCCTCCTGACCATGAGCACCCTGTGGCCGGTGTGTGTGGGGGTGTGTGTGAGAAGAGCTCAGAGACTCTGCTCCCAAGGCCCCATCCCTGTTGCCGAGGGCGCCCCCCCCCAATACCCGGCACGGCTCTCAGAAGGGACAGCACATGCTGGGACAGCCTTACCTTGTCATACCTGAGGGCCTGCACAATCTGGGGGATGTAGAACAGGATGGCGTCCTGCAAAGGAGGTGGACGAGCAATCATGACCTCCAGGAAGGGAAGATAATTCCTTACCTCCAGGACAGTGAAAACAAAAGCAACACAGATGGCTGTCCCAGGGCCCCACTCCAACCTGGAATGGCCCCGCTGTCACTCAGCCCATGGGACACTGTCTTGCAGAGGACTGAAAACCAGGGAAAACCCAGAGGACAGCAAGGAAAATGGCCGATGGCTTGAAACACATGATGGGTGAGAAAAAGCAAAAGGAATGAGGACAGGGTAAGGGCCCGCCCATGTGTGTTCACTGCTGGGGGCCTGCTCGGGGACAAGGGCTGAGGTCACAGCAGGCCCGTGTGCTGGGGCCTCGGTGAGTCAGCTACCAAACCCATCACTGTGGCTGTCACATGGGATTCCCAGGCTTCCCAAGAGCCCACGGCTGGGCGATTGTGCCCACACAGTTACAACTGGCACCAAACTCAAGTCAACTTCCTAACGTATCTGAATCAGAACTCAATCTGTCTTCTATGACCGCCTGAACAGAAACGGGGATGAAGACCTGCTCTAAGATGGACCCATGTTTCACCAGGCCCACATCAAGTTTGAGATAAAGCCCGTCCTTCCTGTCTCCACCTCAGCACTCCCTGGTGGTCCCACCGAGGCCGACTCAGGCAGAACGCGGGCTCACCGGCGGGAAGGACCGCAGGACTTTCACCCCGTACTGCGCGGTGAGAGGGTGCGGCGGGTACATGCTGGAGAAGTAGGAGAGGCCCGTGGGCGGGTCGGCAGGTGCCCAGCACAGCACGTGGCTGAGCTCGGGCGCGTCAGCGTCAATGGTGTGCCAGGTGACCAGGAACTGGGAAGGAAGCAGGGAGACGGTCTGGCACAGGCAGGCCCTGATGCCCCTCTGGAAACACCCGGCCCACCCCGTTATCTCAGGGGCGGTCCCAAAGTGATGATGATGAAGCACTTACAACACCGTGGGGAAATGTTTCTGATACATGATGTAAAGTAGCATAACTTTAACTTGGGTAAAGTACACTCAATATTTTTCTACTCTAAGCATAATAAAGGCCTCACTTGAGAAATGGAAAACACAGGAAATTAGAAAAGTCATTATCCTGCTGAGGTTGCCAGGTTTTTGTCACAGTTCTAGTTTCCAGGCATTTGGGAGGCATTTCTGTTCTTGTGCAGTTTGAGCCCAGGCCCCAGCGCATGCTACACTAACTACCTTGATAGCTTCGGGGACGTCACTAACAGCTCCTGGGTCCAAGCGCACGAGACGGGTCACTTCATTGCCGATGGCTTCTGTGTTCTTAAACCTATGGCACACGGAGGGTGTGGGTGGGGTGGCCTCTCCCACCTCCACGGAAGAGAGGCAGGTAGAGGGAAACCTGAACTGGAGGGATGCAGATTAATGCCAAGTGACACCCAAACACTATGCTACTGACGTACTGGTAACTCTGACCATGAGTGTTTACAATAAACAGCATCATGACTGGCTATGGCATGAATGCCAGAACGATCTCAAGCTCCCCAGTCAAAGGACATCCCCCTTTACAGTCCTTGCCTTCAGAACAGCCCCTTGCCCTGGTGCCAAAGCAGCCCACCTATGGCGCGGCAGCCCGTAGGCTGGAAGGTACATCAGCAGATGGGAGGGTGGGTACAAGTTTTCAGGGGTCACCGCCCCAGGAAAGGTGGACTTTCCATGACTTCCATGGACTTTCCAGGCTGTGGTCCTGGCCCAGAGGACTGAATTAGGACCAGGAGGAAGCACTAAGTAGGCAAGTGTGGGCTCGTGGGGAAGAAATGTCCGCCCCTGCATGTGGGGGACTTAACACAGGGTCCTGGGAGGCCCCTCTTGGCTACCATTGGTCCAAGAGTTCTGACCTTGGAGAGCTACGAGAGGAGAGTTCACAGGGCACTTGGCTGCTGGCCACCTAATCTAAGGAGCCCACTGCTGTGGACCTGTGGGAACAAACTGAAGGCTCCCAAGCCGGCCTCCCTGGAGTGACAGACAGCCTGCATGTGATTCCCATCCCTCGAATGTGCTCTGACGCTTCCTGCTCGGGCCCTGGGGTGCTGGGGCACCGCAGGCAGGAGTGTGCTGTGTGACCACTGCACAGAAAGCCCGGGCAACATCTAGGGCAGAGGACCAGGCCTCTGAGATCACTTCCCCGACCGCCCTTGGCAGTGACCACATCATATTCCTCCTCACTCAGGTGCCCTGGTACTGGACTTCTGGCAAGGCCCTCATCAGGCAGGTGTGACCAGGGCCCCACCTGGCTGGCAGTTGCACGGCCAGGTAAGGAGAGATGCTCCAGGCGAGGTTAACGTTGTCCTTCCACTGCTTCTCACTCAGGCTGATGTACTTGGACCTCCAGTTGGCCACACTGTTCTCTCCGGCCTGGTCCAGCTCCAACTCCGGGGCCGACAGTGGATTGTACCATGTGATGAGACGCTCAATCTCGGTGGCCTGGTGAGATGAGACATCAATATGCCTTCTCTGTGCACCCATGTGCCACTCTGCTCCCGTTCCCGGTGCTGTGGGCATAGGATGGGTGTCACCTTACCAGCAGGGACAGCAGCAGCGTCCTCCGCTTCATGTAGTACTTGTGCAGCTGGGAGCCCCGGTTGGTTTTCTTGGACATGCCTGTGGAGGAGACAGAAGGCCCAGGTGTGTTCTTCTGAGTTCACTGGCCCATCCTTCACTTCTAAAACCCAAAGGAAGCTGCCTTTCAGCGCTCTGCTCACTGTCTGAACCGCCAGGATGTGACTCAGACCGGAGGGACCTATCAGCAAACCTTCAACCGACCTGACTTCTTGGAGATGGTCGACATGCCACTGGACAGGGGGTAGGTGTTGATCCAGCCTTGAGTGGCCTGCTGCCGAGAGCCGACTGCTATGTCCAGATTGCTCCGGGTGTCTTGGTTATCTGTAGGGAAACACATTGTTGCTTCCAGAATGAGGCGTCTGTATTTTCACCAGAGATAAGGTGATCAGTGGAAGAGCAGGGAGGGAAAGACATGGTGTTGATGGATCTGAAGAATAAACCAACCTCTGGGAAGTGTGTGTTTTTGTTTTTTTAATGTAAGCTCTACATTCAAGGTGGGGCTTGAACTCACCACCCTGAGATCAAGAGTCACTTGTTCTATAGCCTGAGCCAGCCAGGCACCCTGGGGAAGTTTCTTTAACCATTCTACATAGAAAGCTTACTAAAATGTATTATATTCTTCCTAACTATTTTTTTTAAGATTTTATTTATTGGGGCGCCTGGGTGGCTCAGTCGGTTAAGCGGCTGCCTTCGGCTCAGGTCACGATCCCAGGGTCCTGGGATTGAGCCCCGCATCAGGCTCCTTGCTCAGCGGAGAGCCTGCTTCTCCCTCTCCCTCTGCCTGCCTGCCGCTCCCCCTGCTTGTGCTCTCTGTGTCAAATAAATAAAATCTTTAAAAAAAAAAAAGATTTTATTTATTTATTTGAGAGAGAGTGCGTGCATGCCAGTGTGGGGGAGGGGCAGAGAGAGAGGGAGAATCTCAAGCAGAATCCCCGTTGAGCGCAGAGCCCGGCACGGGGCTCGATCCCACGACCCTGAGATCGTGACCCCAGCTGAAATCAAGAGTCTAACGCTCAACCAACTGAGCCACCCAGGCGCACCTCTCCTAGCTTTTAAAATAGAAGAAAACAAATGTGGGTGGCGATCCTGATCAATTACCAATAGCTCTCTCGGCCAGCATCACGCTGCCCTTCAACAGAGCAGTGAGTCGGGCCGTGCGGGCAGGCGAAAAGTGCTGCTGGCCCTGCTCTCCGTGAAGCCAGGACGCCGCCTCAGAAAATCTCTGCGCTTGCTTTTTAGTTTGCCTTTCCTTTCCCTGCAGTCAGGTTGTCAGCTGGGGGTCTGCCTGCAGAAACTGCGCTCCTCATCCCTACTTTGTGCTGGGGAATCAGCTTCCTGCTCAGAGAAACAGGAACGTGTTTCTTTGTGGTTTGCTGCTTGCTTACATTGTAGCGCCTTTTCCTTAACCCTGTCCACCCTGGCTTGCTCCTATTCAATCCTGGAGACTCAGCTCACATGTCACCTCTTCCAGAAAACTCTCTCTGGCTCCCTAACTCCGGTGGGCCAAGGGCCTGTCCTTGAGGGGTGCTCCCCTGATCTCCTCATGTTGACATCACCTACCAGGTGACAGCAGACAGTGCTTTATTCATCTTGGCACACGGGCCCAGGATGGGCTGTCAGATATGCAGTCGGGGCTGGTGAACTGGGCTAGTGCTGGGAGAAGTTATGCTATGTGGCCTCTGCTCAGGGCCCTCTGCACTCAGTCATGCTTGTCAGCTGAGGCTGGACGACCAGTGGTGGCCGGACAGGCTTTGGGTCTCTGGTGACCATGCAGCAGGCTCGGCGGGACCCTCACTGTTCTGACCTGGCTCCTGCAGGGCTGCCCACTGCACACCACTGTCTTGCCTGCCCCCATGCCTCGGCCCCACCACCCAGGAGCAGCTGCCCAGCTGAGGACAAGGCTTACCTGGGGGAACAAGCTGGCTGGCAGTCAGGTACTTCTTGTCTGAGAACATGGCTGTCCAAAATTTAATCATTATGCTTATGTCTTCACGCAGCCTCTTTTCTCCTTGAGTAGGGAACTTTGGGGGGCAACTTCAAACAACCACAAGAGGACAAGAGTTTAGTGCCTGGACTCTGGGACTAGAAGTCATGCATATTATAAAAGCATGTGAGAGCAGACATGAGTGGTCTCTGAATGACAAAAGGTGAGCCCAGAGCTAGTCATCAGCAACGATCTCATTCATTCTCATGGAAAAAAGCGGGATAATTTTCTGAGTCCTCCCATGGCCACCTCCACCACTATTCCCAGTGCCGTGGACAGCGCTCGGCCGAATGGCGTGCTTGTGGCCCATCGCGCAGCCACAGCTGTCTCTATACAACACAACCTGCGCGCTAGCAAAGCAATTCTTCATGCAATGACCATTCAGAGGAACTGGAAAGTTAAATGGAGGGCGCCTGGGTGGCTCAGTTGGTTAAGCGACTGCCTTCGGCTCAGGTCATGATCCTGGAGTCCCGGGATCGAGTCCCGCGTCGGGCTCCCTGCTCAGCGGGGAGCCTGCTTCTCCCTCTCCCGCTCCCCCCTCTTGTGCTCTCTCTCTCTCTCTCTCAAATAAATAAATAAAATCTTAAAAAAAAAAAAAAAAGTTAAATGGATGCAGTTAATCTCTTCAGTCAATTGAACTGGGGGAAAACTTGCGTACGTTGCGCAGGGAGGCTAGCTCTAAATAAGCACACACGTGGAAAGATGGCACAGGGCTGAGGATTTTCGAACCCAGGGCCACCAGAGCTACTGAACAAGGAGGGCAGCACATAAATCAGGCCATGCCATTTTGTGCCAGGGCTTCTGGGGTGTGGGACACCTGCGCGCAGCACAGCTCGGGGGTACCTGAAGTAGTCAAAGGCGGTGGAGTAGATCTTCTCTCGAAGCACGTTGCGAATGGTTGCATTTGGGACCACGTCGGCGTGCAGGAGGGCCAGCCCCAGAGTCAGCAGTCTGCGAGAGAACACCAGGGCCAAGTCAGAGTGCGCTGCCCAGGAATGCCCGAGGAGTCCCTAGCTCCTATGCAAACCACGCGGCCCTTGGGCTCAGGGCACGTCTCTGGATGACAGAGCTCTTGGAGGACAGGACCGTGGTTTATTGTACCAGAAATGTCTTAGGAAAGGGTTTTTTGTTGTTGTTGTTTTTTAAAACCTTCACTCTAACTGGGGTAAATGAACAATTTGTGTGTTTATCTGCCTTGGCCAGAAGTTTGTCTATTTGCAAACTACCTGCAAACTACTTTCTGAGTGCAGTCACCTATAGGGGCTACAAAGGTAGAACATTTAATTCAAGCTGAAAGAAAAGGAAATTTACTGAGCACCTGGTTTCTGCCAGGCCAGGGCTACTCGATGGGCATCTACAGATGGTGTTGGTCTGTGATGAGGTAGTACGGAAACTGAGAGGGGGTACCTGCTCATTTCTACAGCAATTGCACCTTGCTATGGGGGTCCAGCGTGAAGTCTTTTCCAGTAATTTATTCTCATGCACTTTATAAAGGTACACGTCTGTGATGGACTAGAAATGGAGGGAAAAGACTACTAGCCCTTCCCCACAGTGGTCTGAGAAGCATGGTCCCAGGGGGTGCCCGGGGGCTGCAGGAACATGGGTCTGGAGCTCAGGGGAGGGGCAGAAAGAGCTGGTGTTGGCAGTGGGCAGCAGGAAGAGGTACAGGCAGGAGTAGCTTACCCTCACCGTCCTTCTAAGTGACGACCCAGGCACCTGCAGGCCCTCCCCATGCCAGACCGACCCGCCTGCTGTGTGCACAGCACCCCTGACTGGAGCACCGGGCCTGAGCCTCCCTACTAGGCCGCACACCCCCCAAAAGGGGGTATCCCCTGATGTGGTTAGTATTTTGCACAGGACTTGGCAAAAGTCGACTTGGTGTAGTCAGCATGATCCGAAGTTTTCTGTGACCATCTCTGAGGGGTAAAGGGACCTGCCCAAAGCCACTGCCAGCCCCTCAGTCTGAGCTCGTCACACCTGAGCTCTGCCAGACCACCTGCTGTTTTCCACTCACCACTATGACACCAGAATCCTTTTGCTGCCATCCACCCCCAACCAATTTAGAAAGGCTGCCCAACATTTGGCTGCCCCAGGTCCATGAGTGAACCATCTTTCTGAACACTCCCCTGCTGTGGACAGCATGCTGGCCGACTTCCTCAGCCCTGGAAGGGCATGGCGGGCCAGATCATTCCATCCAGATCCCCTTCCCAGGGGCCCTGCAGGTACTAGGGCTTGATCAGTTTCTGGTAAAAAAAAAAAAAAGACCAAGCATGGGAACCTCCCCTGCAGAGGGCCTACTGCACCAGCAACTCTGACAGAAATCTCCCCCACCCCATCCCTGCCACCACCACGAGAGGAGAGCCCCTCACTTGAAGCGAGGCCCGATGGCTGCCACGTGCCGGTTCATGCTCCCCTTGGCCCCACCGATGTTCAAGGACATGGAGCGCTGCAGCAGGCTGGAGAAGATCTCCACTTGGTCAGAGCTGCAGTACTTGGCGATCTCGAACCGCTGCACCAGGAACTGAGTGGGAAGAGAACATGCTGCTCTGTGGGGGGCCTGGCCCACCCGCCCGCAGAGCCAGCACAGCCAGTGAGGTGGGGCTCTGCGCCAATAGGAGGGTGGGTGGGGGTCTTAGGGCAAGCACAATTGAGTCCGGCAAGGGCCTGGGCAGAAGGCTGGAATAGCCATGCCCCTGTCCCCAGGTAAGGCAGTCTTAAACCTGGAGCTCTGTGTTTACTGGGCCATTGGCCCCAGGGGGAGCCCCTGACCTCGAAGCTATAGTGGGCGGGACCTGGGGAAGCACATACGTCAATCCAAATGTAGTGGGGGGTCACTTCGGGGGCACAAGGTTTGGGTTGACTGGCTTCCGATGCTGCTAGGGGGTCCGCTTCCTTTATCTCCGCGGAAAACAGGCCGAACTTCTGCTCTACTGTCATCTGCCAGGCCCCTGCCATCTCCCGCATAAACTGCAAGTATGCAATGGTGGTTAGTGTCTCTGAGAAGCACAGAAAGGTACTTACTGTTGTTTAATTATAAAAGGAATACATGCTCGGGGCGCCTGGGTGGTTCAGTTGGTTAAGCTTGGTTAAGACTCTTGATTTCGGCTCAGGTCACGATCTCAGGGTTGTGAGATAGAGCCCTGTGTCAGGCTCTGCGCTGGGGGTGGAGCCTACTTATGATTCCCTCTCTCCCCTCCTCTGCCCTCCTCACCCCTTAAAAAAAAAAAGAATACATGTTTAACGAACAAAATTTAGAAAACGGGTTCCTGGGTGGCTCAGTCGGTTAAGCGTCTGCCTTCGGCTCAGGTCATGATCCCAGGGTCCTGGGATTGAGTCCCTCATTGGGCTCCCTGCTCAGCAGGGAGTCTGCTTCTCCCTCTACCTTCCCCCTCCCGCCCCCCTGCTCATGATCTCTCTCTCTCTCTCTCTCTCTCGGATAAATAGAATCTTTAAAAAAAATTTAGAGGGCGCCTGGGTGGCTCAGTTGGTTAAGCGACTGCCTTAGGCTCAGGTCATGATCCTGGAGTCCTGGGATCGAGTCCCGCATCGGGCTCCCTGTTTGGCAGGGAGTCTGCTTCTCCCTCTGACCCTCCTCCCTCTCATGCTCTCTGTCTCTCATTCTCTCTCCCTCAAATAAATAAATAAAATCTTTAAAAAAAAAAAAATTTAAAAAAAATTTAGAAAACCAAGGAAAGAATGAACAAAAAAATAAAGATCACCTATGATCTAACTTCCCAGCTATTTTCTACCAAAAGCCCATTCTTGAAATATCACTAGGCCAGGTGCTGGCCTCCTTCTTTGTGGTGTCAGCACACCTGGGACGGGCCTAGTGCTGGGTGGGCCCTCAACAGGCTTCACCTGGTTGAATCTTTCTAATGAACCTGAAGCACCTGTGGTTGCAGAGGTGAGGTCACCTGCTGAGGCCTCTAATCTAGCAAAGGCAGGGCTGGATTTTGGCTCTGGAGCCCAGTTCGTCTTCTCCACCCAACATAGATCCTGAACATCACCTTCATGCCCCTAACCAGCCTGGGGAATAACTGTGGGAGCCCAGCTGAGTCTGCAATTGCCACCGGGTGGTTCTGCGGGGGAGCAGCCTCTGCTTTTGGCCCAACAATACCTGGCAGCTCCTTCAAGGGTATTCAGACCCACTGCAGAGAGGTGGTAACCGAGGCTTGGTGCTTGGGGTGTGAATGTCCTGGCTCCCTGTCCAGTATCCATCCCCTCCTTCTTTATTATGGTTTTATTCAGGGAGGCCAAGTGACTAGTCACAGGTACCCTCACCCAGGCTTCTGCTGGTTAGGGTGGCCAATGCTTCTCATTAGCACTAATCAGCAGGTGGGCATCAACTGGGCAAAGGCCATGGCAGCCAGCATCCTCTGCCCTCCTTCCTGCATGGAGGCACAGAAGCCATCTGGAGGTCCTGAAGGTTAGGACCAAGTCCACATGCTCAGGGTGGCAGAGTCGCAGACACGAGCCAGGATATAAATGAGCTGTCTGTGACACCAGGAGGATAGCCCCTGGTGGTCAAGGAACTGTGCCCAGTTTCTGCTTCCTGCAGCTAAATATAAGTCTTATGTTAGAGGAAGAAACTTTAAGGCTTCCAGGGCTGATGAGCCACAGCAAAGTGGCATGCCCACTCATGTGTTGAACAAACACATCTGGTTGCTGCCTCTGGACCTGGCTGCTTCCCCTCCAGGCTCTAGGAATGGAGCAGTGAACAAGACAAACATCCACCCAGTCTACGGCAGGGTCACAGATGGCACGAGAAGGAAGATCTAGATATCAGATGCTGATCAAAGCCAAGGGGAAAACAGCCATGAAAGGGCTCAGAAGAATGAATGGACATATGTGTGGGATATTCTAGACACGGTGGGCAGGGTACAGCTGAGACAAGCCCTGGAGGAGATGTAGAAGTGAGGTATGCAGCTTCCTGGCTGCCTGAAAAGAGCACTGCCAAGAGAGGGAAAAGCCTAAAGCAGGAACACGCCTGGAGGGCAGAGGCAGCAGGGACCCCAGTGTGCCTACAGCAGGGCAGGCAAGGGGAGCAGAGGGGAAGAAAGCTGAGGTGGCAGAGGGGCCTTGCAGATCATAGAAACAAGATGCCTTCTACTCTGAGTGAGCATGGGCAGCACTGACAGGTCTGAGGCATAGGAAGGACCTAATGTGACCCATATTTTACTGACTCACTCTGTGTATGTGTGGAGAAGGCAGAGAGGGCCCAGGTGGAAGCAGGGAGGCCAGCGGCTGCCTCCCTAGTCCACGGGAGATGGAGATTGGGATCAGGAGGCAGCAGTTGGGATGCTGGGAAGTGGTCAGCTTCTGGATATACTTTAAAGGTAGAACAGTAAATCTGAGATGATTTGCTGAGGATCATTTGTGGGAAGTGCAAAAGGGGAGTCAGGGATGGTGGTAAGGATTTTGTCTGAGCAGAGGGAAGGACTATGTTGGCATTCACAGAGATTTGGACACAGACGGGTGGAGGTCAGGGTGGGGCTAGTTCATTTGTTTTGGGTCATGAATTTGAGCACCATACCAAGGGATCAGAGGTCTTTCCCATCTTAGTGTGATATGGGCCCCAGACTCTCACAAGGAGGGTTTTCATGCTGAGATGAGCCCAACAAACTCATAGCTCTATCTCTCTAGGAATGCAGAAGATGCCATCAGCCATCAGGATGCCATCAGCAATTGTCTCTCTAAAGTTGGAGTGATCAATAATTTTTGTTTTTTTCATTACACTCCTATCTTCCAACTTCTCTATAACGAACATACATTGTTTTTATAATAGAAAAAGTTAAAAACAGAAGCCAACAATACAAAAGACACAAAAACAAAAGTTAAAAGCCTTCCCAAGATGTTGGCTGGGCCTGGACAGCAGGTCCTTACAGAGGCAGGGACAGGGAGTGTGAGGAGACAGATGGCCTTCAGTCCCAAGTGAACAGCAAGAACGGTCTAGAGGATATAAAAAACCAGGCCTATCTGTTGGACTGCTGAGAAGTGCCAGATAAGAAAGCCACAAAGAACTGATTTACAGAGACTTTACCAGGAAGCAGCAAGCTCTAGCAGCTCATGGGCCAGTGCTGGGTCTGGACACAAGTGGGTGGACAAGGCCTGCCAAAGGCCGAGAGACCTGAAGCCAGCAGAGGAAAATGGATCAGAGTCCAAAAGACCCCAAATGAAACAGCAATTTGTTTGGCATAAAAATCCTTCCATGACCCCTTTTCTAATTTTGATGAGGTGGGGGAGAGAGGGAAATGAAGGTGGGGTGAAAAGTAGGAAAAATCTGTCCTTCTTGCCAAGACTGACCCCTCAGGGGTAGGGGTCAGTGAACCTTTATTTTAGTCACCCAACAAAAGAAAGACCTATTTTCTGGGAAAGTAAAACAGCAGTGCTCCTCAGTCTCCACTGTTTTTCTATACACAAAGTCTACAACACAATAAAAACATTTAAAACACTAAAGAAAAAAAAATCAACAGAAACAGACCCACAGATGACACTGATACTAGAACATATCAGATAAGGATTATAAAATAAATATTGTAAATATGACCAAATATTTATAGGTAAAGATGAAAAAACTAGATGAAGATACAGAGAATCTCAGAGAAATACAAACTATAAAACAGAAAGAGAAATTCTAGATCTGAGAATCATGATATCTGAGATAAAACATATATAAGATGGCTTAACAACAGAAGGAATAAAGCATCAAAAAAGAGCAGTGAACTGGAAGATGGACCAATTACAATGAACCAAAATGAAATGAGAGAGAGAGAAAAGTGAAAAGAACTGCAGAGAATGTTAATGATCTGTGGGACAACATCAAGCCACCAACACATGTGTGTATAATTGGAATCCCAAAATGAGACAAGAAAATGGGGGAAAGTATTTAAAGAAATATTGGCCTAAAGTTTTCCAAGTTTGATGAAAAACCCTAAATCTCTAAATTAAAGCAGCCCAATAAACCCCAAAGGGAGAAATACACAGAAAACCACATTATCATAGTCAAACTATTAAAAATCAAAGATGAAGGGAAACATCCTAAAAGCAGCCAAAAGGAAAAACCTAAACAAACAATAGCAACTCCTGAGGAACTATGATAAGAATGACTGCTAATTTCTCCCTGGAAACAATGCAAGCCAGTAGAAAATAGATGTACTTAACATGCTAAAAGCAACAAAAGGAAAGAAAAAACCTGTAAACCCAGGATTCTAGATCCAGGAAAAATATCCATATGCATAAAAAAATGAAGGTGAACTAAAGCGGAGAGAATTTATTCCAGCAGAGCTGAACTACAGGCAATGCTGAGGGAATTTCTTTGGGCTGAAGAGAACAATTGAATCTGAGTCTACAGGAAGACTTGAAGAGTGTGAGAAATGGAAATTATTATCTGGATAAATGTGTAAGGCTTTTAAAAAAGTCCTTTTCTTAATTTCTTTGAAAGGTTTTTGACTTATTTTAATATTATTTTTAAAGATTTTATTTACTTATTTGACAGACAGAGAGAGCATGAGCAGGGGAGGGGCAGAGGGAGAAGGAGAGGGAGAGGGACAAGCAGACTCCCCTCGAAGTGAGGAGCCCGAGATGGGGCTCGATCCCAGGACGCCAAGATCAAGACCTGAGCCGAAGTCAGATGCTCAACTGATTGAGCCACCCAGGTCCCCTAGCTTTTGACTTTTAGAACAAAAATAACACTTTTATAAGGCACATAACATATGCAGCAGTAAAATAGATGAAAACCAAAAAGCGGGGGGGGGGGGGGGGCACATGGGTGTATATGACAACAATGGCAGATCGCTGTCAATGCAGAATCCTCCACCTGACAATGACAACAGCCACCACCACAAACAGCAGTTAGTATTTACTAATAGACTGCTATGTTCTGGGCACTGTTCCTGGCCCGTGAGGTGAATTAAGCCATTCAATCTCCACAGCAACTCTATGTCATAGGTGTCCGTGCTGTTATTCTCATTATACAGATGAGGAGCATTGCCCTGCAGTCAGAGCCCCTGCAGGGGGCAACAGGACTCTCACAGGCCATTCTGCATGCTCCCTGATGCAAGCAGAGCTGGCCAGGCTGAGAACCCAGTGCCTACTTTAGTTCCACAGAGAAAGGGTCCAGGAGCCACCGGTGAGCCCAGGGCCCCAGGTGACTCCCTCTCCTTAGAGGCTGCCATCAGTGCCTCTCCCTAACCAGTTAATCTCCCAAGGAAGCCAAGTGGACCAAAACATTTCCCCAAACTGAATGGTGTGCCCAACACAAACTCCATGCAGTTATAACATCCCAGGCAAATGTGAGGTATGATGATTACTGTCACCACCAGCACCTGCCTGGAACATTCTAATTCCTTCTTCAGAAATATTCCATTTTCCTCAGGAAACAAGAAAAGAAAACACCCCTTTTGACCACTTATCTCAAGTCATCTTAAGAAACACAGGAAAAAGGGATGCCTGGGTGGCTCAGTCGGTTAAGCGTCTGCCTTCGGCTCAGGTCATGATCCCAGGGTCCTGGGATCGAGTCCCGCATCGGGGTCCCCGCTCCGCGAGGAGCCTGCTTCTCCCTCTGCCTCTGTCTCTCTCTCTGTCTCTCATGAATAAATAAATAAAATCTTAAAAAAAAAAAAAAAAAAAGAAACAGAAAAAAATGCCAAATTCCCTGTTGTTACGAAAATTAACAAGATCTTTGAAAAAATATAACAGTCCTTAGATATTCATCCAATCAGTTGAAAGGGCGTATATGACCTTGCCTCAGGGCTTCCTCCAGTAGCAACTTAAAAAAATATGGATACCAGGAAGACTGCCCCTTCCAAAGTTAGCAGGCCAAGAGAAACGGCTTTGTAGACAACTACCACCTCTCCCAATCACATCCCATGTGTTCCACTCTCAGGGAAATGGCTCCCTCTACTGAGCTTTTGAGAAACAACAACTTCTAGGAGCCACTAGGATCCTTTTAACATATATTCCCTGTTGTCAGCGAGATAGCCCGGTGGTCAGGCATTAATATCACAATCTTACAGATAAGGAGACTGAGGGGGCCCAGAGGGTAAGGGGCTTGCCTGGGGTTTCCAAGCGTGTCAGCTGAGCAGCCAGGTCAAGCCCTCTCCATCTCTCACCAGCCCCACCCTCAGGCGCTGAACACAGCAGGTATCCTACCGGTACTTCCACTCCGTTCTTGCCAGCCAGCAGCCACTCCCAGCAGGCCAGGGCGGTCTCCATGCCATGCTCGTTGAACATCCGGAGAGGACCCCAACACAGATGATGAAGGAGCTGTGGGTCACAATCTGCAACCAAACACACACTGTTCAGAGAAAGCACTGAACATGGCCTGAACCCTTTGCTTGCCTCCCCAAGTCAACAAGACAGAGCACCAGGTGGGCCAATGATGGTCTTTTGTTTACTTCTACCCCTGAGAGACACCACAGAGATCTCTACTCGGGGAGCCCCAGCTCATTAAGGCAAACAAAGGTAAACACTCATTTTCTTTTCTTTTTTTTTTTTTTTAAGATTTTTTTTAAAATTTATTTGACAGAGAGAGACACAGTGAGAGAGGGAACACAAGCAGGGGGAGTGGGAGAGGGAGAAGCAGGCTTCCCTCAGAGCAGGGAGCCCGATGCGGGGCTCGATCCCAGGACTCTGGGATCATGACCTGAGCCGAAGGCAGACGCCCAACGACTGAGCCACCCAGGTGCCCCTAAACACTCATTTTCAAACAAGCCCAGAGCTCCCCAGTACCTCTGTCCATTACCTTTGCTGCTGATGAGCATTGCTGTCAGCTTGAACATGGCCTGTGTGTAGTGCTGAGGATTACTGAGGTCTAACGCTGTATTCAGCTCCTGGACCATCATTTTGTTCAGGTCAGATATCTGGCCTGTGGCATCTGAGAACCGAATCATTCCATACACCTGCAAGAAGCACACTTGTCAAGAGAGTCGCATGTAATCCAGGCACACAGACAAGACCTGACCAGACAGTGGGGATAAGACAGATAAGACAGTGGGGACTGTCTTAAACTACAGCTTGTGTGTATAGAGAGTGACAGGGTCATTTCAATGATGTTACCACTGCTCACACTTTGGGGGAACTTCTCTTTTAGCAATATATGTTGGCATTCCCTTCATTCTAGATGGTCCTTGAAGGCAGAGACCTGGTCTTGTCAATTTTACATTTTAGCACTGAGTCCAGGGTCAGAACCACAGTAGGACTGCATGATGTGGACTGATTCAATACATTCTTTCAGAGTCAATTAATGACTCCAACGAGATCAGCCTCACTATTTTTAAAGCTGTACATAACTTTTTCCCCCCAACAAAAGCACGCTGCTCTCTTATTTACCAGACTTGACTATATAAAAAGGATCTGACTCCTTCCAAAACCAAACCTACTGCCAAAGACACACTTCCTATCACCACGGGGATATTCAAAATAGGTGGAATAGGCCCTCAGAGCAATTCTCAGCTCTAGGAATGTAGGGTCAGTGACAGCCTAGGGTCAGTGGCAGCCTAGCAGTGTGAGGGGCCCCCCTGCTGAGGGCCCACAGGAAGAGGAAGAGCAACTGCTAGAATGAGGAAGTCGCACGGGGGGAGGGGAGACCCCACTCAGACTAGGCACGGATGGACTTGCAGGGACCTCTGCAATGGTGTAGATGAGCTTCTGTGTTTTATCGATTCAGAAACTGAGGCCCCAAGAGGTGAAGCAACTTGCCAGGCTGGGCTAAAGTGCGGCATGGAAGGCGAAAGCCCTCACGGTGAGATGTGGTTCCCACCCCTTGCTCTGCCTATGTGACTCTGGCAGGTTACTTTATTTCAAGAGTCTCAATTTCATTTTCTGTAAAGTTGGAATAATAGTACATACACCTCACCAACCATCCCAGACAGTGCACGGCACTCAACAAATGTTTGCTACCACTTAAAACAAAACAAAACAAAAACAAAAACAAAAAAAAGTCAGAGAGACAAAATGCTTCAGCAGGGCCAGACTGTGTGTATGTGCAATCGCCCTCCTGCAGAGGTGGTGAGTGGCTGCCATAAATGCTCCAGACTGTGCTGGTGAGTCCCAGGGCTCATGCCTTCAAGTTCACCTAAAATGAGTGAGTTCCAGACCCGAGTGCGTTTTCCACTGGGAGGGAGCTGACTGGCATCGGAGCAAGAGGACACCTCGATGACCCCGGGACACAAGGGCAGGAGAAGTACCTCGCCTGCGTAGCGGTTGCGTAGATTGAGAGACGCCATGAAGTTGGAGTAATCTTTCTTCACACAGGCCGGGCGCTCCGTTAGCTGAGTTGCCTACAGGCAAGTATCAAGAATTATTTCAGGCCATTGCCACATGTTTTTCTCATGTTCACCATGGCTAAGCCTAAGTCCAATTAAGAAGTCAAGTTCAGATCCAGGGGTTATTAGAAATCTTCAGTGCTGGCAAGCTAATAAAACAAAATACTTTAGAACAGCCTCTTGTCTGATATGTCCCAGGGAAAAAAGATGAAAAAGAATCTTAGTATGAAAAATTTTCTCTGGAAGGCAGCTTATGATATAGCTTCAATTTGCTGCTGATTGTTTTTATCCCCAGTGGTGAACAGACCTTTGCAAAAGATATAATCACCAGATCATTGTGAAAATCATCATAATCTACAATGAAAATGCTGTGCTGGGCTGTCTCCTCTGCGGGTCTGGGCTGGTGTGTAAATGTGACTTGAAGATGGTAAAGGGTGAGGTTGAGAGCATGGTGTCAGAGCGAGCAAAAGCCAGCAGGGGCTCAGAGACACCTAATAGCTGCCACAGGTCTAATGCGGGTCTAGTGGCAGAAGACAAAAGGGGCGCACTCTTGAGTACAAAGGCGGCCCACAGAAAGGGGAAAGTCTTTGCAGACCACACCCCCCTCATTTCCTCTGCTTCAGCTTCAGCCCCCCAGCCCACCTCCCATCCCTCAGGGTCGTGAGGACTGCTCTCCCTAACCCTGGCTGGTCACTGCTACCATGCTCTCTAGCTATCGCGCTGCCCAGTGTCACCGAAGACTATGAATATGCAGCGAGCATGATCCCTTTCACATTTCCCTTCAGCATCTTTTACTATAAACCAAGACAACCTATCCACTTCTTGACATATGGATGCTACTGGGAAAAATGAATCAACGGCTGAAGTCTGAGGGATTGTTTTTTTTGGGGCGGGGAGGGAGCAGGTGAGTGGGGAGAGAGAGGGTCGGGGGAAGAAAATATGAAATTTGGGGAAAAAACCATAAGCAAGAACAAAAATACATGATTTTCTCATAAAATTATTAGGCTGGCTTACTTTTCAAAAGGTCATGTAAAACTGCTTTATGTTTTTTGGAGACTGTGTGGCCTATGGCATCAAGCAGGACTGCACTGGAACCTGGCCCTGCCACCAACCAGCTATGAGGCCCTAGAGAGGTCACTTGCCCCAGCCTGAATATACTCCCCAGCAAAATGGGGACAACAGTGGCCTTCTCACCAGGCAGAATGGGGTTCAGTGATGTCTGCAGGATCCTCGGGCAGCAAATGCATTGGCAGGCCGTAGTGCAGGCCACCTCTGTCCCCTGGATAACTACTCTGACTGCTCCGGCTCACGTGCCTGGTGCACTGTGACATGGAGGACTGCCCTGCAGGGCTTTTCTGACAGTCTCGATGCAGCACGACCCACCAGCCTGAAATCATGCTTCTGAGACAGCCCCCCAGGAGCGGCGCTTTCCTGAGTGCCATGTGATGGGGAGATGTCACTCTGGGGGCCAGCACGCTTCTGTGCTTTTCATGGAACAGGGGCAGCTGGCCAGGATCTCCAGTACAACCAACAGTCAGAAGACACCAATAAATACATCCTTTCTTCTTCAGAAACAGAAAAGGGCAAACCAAACCTAAATCTCTTTTTTAAAGAAAGAGATTTAAATCTTTTAGGCAAAATTGACCTCTTACAAGCCAGCTGGCTGGAGCCTAAAGAGGACCAGGAGTTGTCAGATGCATTCTGAGCAGTCCCCAACTCTGGCCTCTGCTTGGGTCGTCAAAGTGGTGGAGACCCAGGTCAGGGAGCTGATCTCATGCCAGTGGGCCTGGCCTATCAGCGGAGGGTGTGCAACACTGAGAGAACATGTCTTCAGAGAATATGGAGTGACCTCTGGTGAGAGCTCCAAGGAGGGCATGGGACGTGAGAAGACATTGGCTTCCTCTGGCACTGCCCCAGGCCCTGCACAGAGGCTGAGGGCCCTCAGCTCTGCCTAATGGGCTCCCTGCTTCCTGCTTAGAGTCCTGGCCATGGTGAGAAGTCACATGGCCATCCTCCCTCCCTGGTGCTCAGCCTCTGTACCCCTGCCCTATCATGTCCGTAAAAGACAGGTGGCAGCCTCCCCACCTCCCCATCCTGAGAGAGAGTTAAGAGGCACAGAGTTAAGAAACCTACAGCCATACTTGGCTGGGACAGACTGACAGATGCTGTGCTAGGCCCTAAGGCTGGGAGACACTGCCATGCAATGCTGCCAGTCAGATCACCTGTTGTCAGTCAGCTGCTTTGATCCTAAACTCTGATTTAACTAAGAAAGTGCTACTTCATGGATGTGCTGCCCTCTAAAGGAATCCTGAGCAGAATAAGACGAAGCTGGAGATGTGTATGCACGTGTACTTTGACACCTGCTGAAACAAGAAAATCCAGCGAATGTTTCCAATCGACGTTACTATAAGATAATGCTGACCGTGTCTCCCAGAGCTCAGTTTCCTTCTTTGTGGATACACAGAAATCCAAATCTGATATCATTAATGAATCAAGAAAACACAGTAAGGTTCTACGGCCCAACTCTCTCTGAACTTGGGGATTGTACATGGGACTCTGATCCGCCTACTGCCAGCACAGCTGTGTGTGTGGCACATGGGTGCCCAGGTGCTTTCGGAAAAAGCCCCACATCAGTTTTGGTTTTTCCCCTCACCCTGTGGCTCCCAGGAGGCTCACACATACCCCAAGAGTGGTGTTCTGCTTGTTGTAGCCGGCAAAGTGAAGGATGCTTTCGGTGGCCATGGCCAACCCTGTGTGCTGGGACAGTCCTGATACCCAGTTCTGATGTTTGTTCAGATATTCCTGAAGTCAGAAAAAAAAAAAAAAGGCTGTTTTATTTTAAAAGTATGTGAGGTAGGAGAGCAAACACTGGTTCTGATGTTGGGTCCATCCGTTGCTGTGGGAGCCTCAGTAAGTTAAAGCTCCCGTCTCTGCCAGGCTATTGCTCACGTGTGAACCAGGATGACTTGCCCAGAGTGGCCAGCACACACAGTAAACCTGAGAGGACCGCTTACTCTTTTAGCACATCCCTGCTGACAATCTGCCACCTGCCAAGTCCCGTGCTCCCCAGAACACAGAGCGGCAGAGTCCTGATCCTGCTGTCAACATGCGGGCAGTTCTCCTGCCTGTGCAGCCATGCTGTGAAGGGGCAGCCTGATGGACAGCAGGAAGGCAGAGCAAGGGCCTGAGTCTGCCCGGCCAACCGGTGGAGGGGGATGCTGGGGCAAAGGGACACCTGGCAGGGCCCGGAGATGTGAGAAGGCCTTCTGCTCTGCGGATCCTCAGGGGTCAGAGGTCAGCACTGCAGGAGCAGCAAACACAAGGGGCTAGATGGTAGGCGGGCAAGCCTGGGCCAGAGATAGGCCAGGTCTGAAAGGCCTTGTGTGCCAGGTGAGGGAGTTTAGGGTGGGCCACAGGACTCCCTCAGGAAAGTGCATGAGCACTGACTTACAAAACTGTGTCAGTGGCTTCGGAGGGTTCATGGAGCCTATGGTGATGGGGAGTGGCTAATGAGCAGAGGTAGCGGGGAGGTGTGCCGAGCAGATTTGCTAGTGACACCAGCCCGCCCTGGTGGGCAGCACAGACGATGGCTCAGGACAGGCTGAGGCTGCCGGCAGGGAGCCCAGGCAGGATGGGGACAATTTGGCTGGGCAGTGAGGGCTGGATGGCAGGTGGGGTGGGGTTCAGATGGACTAGATGTGCAGGGGGAAGGGAAATGGGGCCTGAGGCAACACCAAGGGGAGGCCTGGTAGAAGCAAAGACACCAGTGCAAGCTTTTGCATTTTCCACTCCCTTCCTGGGCCACGCTTAAAGAATAAATAGCTCCCCCTATTGTAGGCTTTTTTTGTTTAATGAACCTTTTTAGAAATGAAAGGGGGCTTCCTCTCTTTAGACCTTAGCCTTGGGAGCTGAAGCCCCTCTCCTCCATGTGAACCCCCCCCCCAAAAAAAATCAGTTCCTAAATATGAACAGTTTGAGAAAGTCCCCCAGCCTGAAGAGTACCAGTGAATCCACTAGACAGAGAAAGCTGTCAAGCTACAGGCATGGCCTAGTTACAAGGCCCACCTCTGTGCAGCTTAGCTGCTGAGTGCCAAATGGAGGGCTCCATTTTTTTTTTTCCCCCATTTCCCCAATTGCTCTAACCTCACTGCTCCAACACCTTTGTGGAAGGAGGAACAGTACGGCAACGCTAGGCACCACCCACGGGCTCTTGCAAAATGCATTTCCAAACAGCCTCTGAGGTTCTTGGGGCTAGCTGCTCTGTCCTTCCTGGATTCCAGACCCAGAAACACTTTGGAACTAGTTTTTTTTTTTTTTTTTTTTAAGATTTTATTTATTTATTTGACAGAGAGAGACACAGCGAGAGAGGGAACACAAGCAGGGGGATTTTTTTTTAAGATATTATTTTTATTATTTTTTTCTTTTTAGATTTTATTTTTCGACAGAGAGAGAGACAGCAAGAGAGGGAACACAGCAGGGGGAGTGGGAGAGGGAGAAGCAGGCTTCCCACTGAGCAGGGAGCCCGATGCGGGGCTCGATCCCAGGACCCCGGGACCATGACCTGAGCCGAAGGCAGATGCTTAACGACTGAGCCACCCAGGCGCCCCTGCAACTAGCTTTATCCTGACAAGTGTTGCTGAGGTCAACTTCACACGCCCCTCTCGTTGCACCTTCTCTTTATTAAGCCAGATTTCTTCTAGTGGGATTTTTCTTATCTTTGATCCCTTTTGAGGTGATTTTTTCCTCTCACATATTGTGGTATTTTTGGTCCATCTCTGCTTGACCAGAACAATGGCTCACCTTGCAGTCATTTGTGTTCACAAGCCAGTGCTTTGGTCTGAAAAGGCTCACGTGCAACTCCATGTGCAGCCTGGATAGGGCTCTACTGGGACAGCAGCCTCACTCCAGCTCCGGCATTCGGCAGAGGTGCTGCTGCTGGACTGCCAGGCCTCCCCACACACCACATCGCCCGTGCCCGTCTTGCAAGCAGCCCCAAGTCCTGCCATAAACCCAGCACCTACCTGGTGTGAGTGGTCAGGTTCCTGGGGCCCGCCTGCCCACGGATCCCACTGCATCTGACCCCCGCCACCCACGACCAGCACCCTTACCCCCCAAGGAATTCCCACCAAAGAGCAGCCTCTGAGGCTTCTGTTATTCTCAGGCACTAGACTAATGTTTTTGGTCTCTGTTTATTACACTAGCGCTGTTTGTATTTCGAGTTTGCTGTGTCTGTGAAAGCTCTCTGGATCCCTGGAAGGAGCATAACAAAACTGCTTTTTGGTGATTTCAAGAAAGTACCTGTAAGTGGGACTTGGTGACTGTAGGTGCCCACTTCATCGCCTCCTGTAGGATCATTCCACAGCGCGCGGCAAAGTCCTTCACGATGCTCTGGAAGAGGGGGTAATGAAGCCGAGGTCAGTGTATTTGGGCCGTCAGAGGATGCCAGCTACAGACTGTAGTTAGCGACTGCTGGGGGCTGAAGTGCATCCCCCCTAAAACCCATGTGTTGAATCCCTAGCCCCCAGTACCTCAGAATGTGACAGTATTTGGAGATGGAGCCTTTAAAGAGGTGACTATGGTAAAATGTTATCATATGGCTGGGTCCTAATTCAATCTGACTGGTGTCCTCCAAAGAGGAGGAGATTAGGACACAGGCACAGAGGGAAGACGTGAGGACACAAGAACACGACAGACATCTAAAAGCCAAGGAAAGAAGCTTCTGAACAAACCAACCCTGGCAACACCTTGATTTCACACTTTCAGCCCCCAGAACTGTGAAAAAATAAATTTCTGTTGTTTAAGCGACTCAGTCTGTGGCACTTAATCGTGGCAACCCTAGCAAATGATTACAGTGACCATGTTCCAACCCCGAGGCTCTGGGTGCAGGGTACAGATATCCTGGTCTGTAATCCTGGCGTAAGGTGGCAGGGCCCACACTCACAGTGCCTCACACAGCCGCTGCGGGGCGTGGGAGACTCCCTGCTGGCAGCTGGTCTGGCTGGAGGCCCCAAGGCTGGGACATGACCCGGCCCCAGGTCTGAGCTGAGCTTCAATCTGCCACAGTGAGGGCTCCAAGTCAGACCTCGCACAGCACATCCTCCTTACCCGGAGCTACTCATTCCATCTATTTCCCACAGTGCCACACAAAGCTGAAGTCATGTTACTCAACTACCACAATGACAGACAGTCTGCACACCTCACAGCAGTGAAGTTCATCTGACAGTCACGCTTGCTCATGCAGCTTGGAGACACTATAAACTGACAGGCAGCTGAACCAAGAAAGGGCTTAGAGTCAGCACGGCTGAGGGGCAGGAGTGGGCCTGGCAGACAGACCAACCTGGGAGTGAGTCAGCACCCCGCTCGTACTGTGTGACCCTGACAGCTGAGCCTTTCTTACCTGTGGGCCCAGGCCCACAGTGCTCACACCTCAAACTGCTGGGGACCGAATGACACAACGTGTGCAACACGCCAGCCCTGACAACTCGAGAGGGCAATGAAAACAGCCCTTAATAAGGGGACGGCTGCCAGCCTACCTCCCGGGCTTCACAGGTATCAGGAACAGTGATCCGATAGGGGGCATCAGGGATGTCGTAGTAAGGCTGATCCTTGTGAATGTCCTGAAAACACAACAAGGCTCCCTCTTCCAAACCGCCTTCCCTAGGCTGCCTCTGCTGAGCTGGGCCTCCAGCTCATATTGGGCAGCAGAGTGTTTGCCTCCTTTCCCCACACTTGTCCGGTTTGTGACGGACTTCCAACCTTGCTGCAGCTCACTGGGAAAGGCCAGGGTGGGATCTGGGGCCCCACCCCCGATGTGGCCACTTGTAGCATAAATTAGGCTCAGGCTTAAGGCAGGGATACTCACAGCACTCAGCGAGAGTGACAGGGTCTGGAGGATGTCCAGCATGGTCTTCAGCACTGTCCCGCTCCAGAGCAAGTGGGGAAACCTACACCAATAGTCATGTCTCGGTCCAGGAGCCAAATCTTCAAGGAATCTCAGTTCCTTAAAGTGCCACCTCAAGGGGTGGGGTTGGGGTGAGGTGGGAGCCCCACCTCCTGCTGCCCAGCTGAGGGTCAGAGGAGGCCAGGAGGCCTCCTAGGCAGGGCACTCAGTCAGAAACACCCCCCAGACTCCTGCCAGTCCCACTCTTCAGGGCCCAAGCATGACCACACGTGACCTGCTCTCAACCACACACCGCTTGTCTTGGTTATGCACTGGTCAGGCCACGCTCCCTCACTCCCCAAAGTGACCCTCCTTGTTTTTGACCAGGCCTCCCTAATATTTTCACATGATGGCACAAATAGAAAATGGTAGTATTGCAGGATACCCTGGGGCAAAGAGAAGAAGCTGCTCCTAAATGTGGTGGTCAGCATTGAGGGGAGCCAACTCTGCACAGCTGTGACTCATCATGGCCCATTGCTTAGGAGGTCCAGCTCAGACACATGTCATACGTGTGTTGCACTTGCTTTCTGGCCCTGCCTAGACCAGGCACACAGCACCTGCAGCAGGCTCCAGAACTCCTGGATGCTTGCAGCGATGTGTGGGCAGGCCCAGCATGGCTGTTTGCTGCCTCCAGCCTTTATACTGCAGACAGGCTGGCCCAGCCCACCTTTGAGGGTTCTCATTCATGTGGGGGTGTGTCCCATGAGAGTCTGCTTTGGCTTCCAGCACAGAGAGCCTGGAGTGGAAAAGGATCCGTGGGAGCTCTCCTTCCTCTCTGAGGAGGCTGGAAGACACTGATTTGACCAGGGACCTCTGGCTAGGCTCTGGGGTGGGAGATGTCACATAGGATGGCCGTGAGCTACCCAGAGCAAGCCCAGAGAAGTCCTGCAGCAGGGGAGGGTGGGATGCAGAGACACAGGCAGGTGACACCCCTTGTCAGTAAGTAACATCAATAGCTCAGAATAAGTGAAGTAGAAGTTTCAGGACCAAATTTCAGACCTTGTAGCAAATTCCATGACATTCTGAGGGAGGCTGCATTGCCATTTGAGAGTTTAAATTCTGACTCCAACTTTTCTGCCCTGATAGTGTAAGGATGATTGGAGGATTCTTCCCTACATTCCAAATCAAGAAGTTTACACACACACACACACACACACACAGCATTAGAAGGAAAATGAGCTTACTTATCCACCAGACCAGACAGATACTTGTCTGCCACCCTCCGTATCCTCTTGTGAATGTGGTTGAAGTTCACCAACAGAAACTGTGCGTGCCGCTCGAGCTCCTCTTCATTCTCCTTGGTCTTAGCCTGGAGATTCAGAAGAGACAGGTACAACAGGTGCCCTCCATGTGCCTTGGGCAGACAAACACTCACGCTCCGACAAGGCTTACTTTATCTGCCATCATGTTCAGGAAGGCATCAAATACTTTGTCTGCGACAGCAATCACACACTGCATCATCCCTGAAATGAGGAGGAGGTTTCCACAGGTCAGGAGCATCAAGGGAAAGGGACCAATCCCAGCTATTTTCAATATTTTGTTTGGAAAAGATTTTGGACTAACAGAGGAGTGGCAGAGAGAACACAGAGTTCCCATATACCCTGCACCCAGCTTCTCCTGACTTTAGCAGCTCTTTTGTCAAAACTAAGAAGCCGTCAGTGATATAATACTCTTACCTAAATTTCAGGCTTTATTTGGATTTCCCGTTTTCCCACTAATGTCCCTTTTCTGTCCCAGGATCCAATGAGGCATTGCCAATCAGGTCTCCTTAATCTCCTACAATCTGTGTTGATTCCTCGGTCTGTTCTTACCTTTCATGACCTTGACACTTCTGAAGAGCACAGGCATTTTGTAGGATGTCCCTCAACTTAGGTGTGTTTGATGCTTGCTCATGATTAGACTAAGGTTACAGGATTTTAGGGCAATCCCACAGAGGTGAAGTGGCCTTCTTGTCGTATGGTGGGGTGTAGGGGGGTGTGAAATCAGTATCTCCTACCACTGGCGAGGCTGACCTTGATCACTCAGGTACAGTGGTGTGTGCCAGGTTTCCCACTGTCCAGTTACTATTTCTCCCTTTCCATGCTCTACTCTTCAGAAGGGAGTCACTGCGTCCAGCCCCCACTTGGGGAGGGGAATTAAGCAGCAGCTCCTGAAGAGAATGTGGGTGTAAGTAAAAAACACCACAGTCACTGGGAAATGCTCTGGGGAAGATACTTTGAGGTTATGCAGACATGTCATTTCTCTCTAAGATGTTGCCCACTGGCTTTCGCACCTGCCAGTGGGCTCTGCCTGCAGCAGGTACTCTGGTCTCACTGGAATTCTGTAAGGAAGGTCTGTCCCTTCTTCCCCATGTTTCATTTGTTCAATCATCTAATCAGCACGGACTCATGGATATTTCTTTCTTTCAGTGGGTTATAATCCAATACTGTCGTTATTTTGTTGCTCAAATTGTTCCAGCTTTGGCCATTAGGAGCTCTTTCAGGCAGGCTCTTGCGTCCTTGTGACATGCCCACAGGCCTTTCCTTTCCTTTTCTTCTTCTTCCTCCTCTCCTTTTTCTCTTTTTCCCTTCACAAGACCTTCCTTTCTGGCACTGTGAGCTGTCCTAGGCTCATCTTGTATTTTCCCTGGAGCCTTGGCTCCCTTTACTGCAGAATGGTGTTTAGAAACCAAGATACAAGCACCGGATGTGGTTGTGGCTTCCAGGGTGCAAAGCAGATTTTAAAAAGCAACAGCGGAATGCAAACATCACAGTGCCGATGTCATTAAATGCCGCTTGCCCTCTAGTGCTGTCCCACTTATGCAGGGTCTTTGGGGTGGCTAAATGACAGGGCTGCAAGGTCAGCAGGGCGAAACACTAGGCAGGCACTGCACCTCTGTGCCCAGGCCCAGCCAGAGGCTGAACATAAAGAGGCATCACATATGTGTTTGTCATGAGGATAAATGGACCCCCGAAGCTCTCAGACCTGGAAAGTGATTAGTGTGACCTAATGCCCCAGAAGGGAGAGGCTGGTCTCTAAGAAGTTGGGTTTGGTGGATAAAATCTTGTTTTGGGGGTGTGTTTAGTGTAATATCTTTTCATGTAGCTCTTAGGAAACTGAAACTGTAAGTTCCTAATAAAAAACCATCAGATAGGGGTCAGATGCCAATGATGATCACGCGGTAGCCTCTATGGAGATTTTTACTTAAAAACAGCCACTTTCCTTTTTGTGCTTAAAGTTAGCTTGAGATTACCTCGGTCTTAGTCTGTACTGATTGACTAGACAGTCAGCAGGCTACAGGGCAGGAACACATGGAGGCTTGGCTCACACCTACACAGAGGAGGTGCTAGCAATCCCCTTTGGGGGCTGCTAGATGCTTCTTATAACCTCTCTCCTCCTTGGTTCTGAAAACTCATCAATAACAAATCTCCAAAGACATCTCCTTCCCATCTCCCATGTTTTAGGAGAGAAAAGGAAGAGGAAAGTACACTCAGTAGGTACACATTTATCAGCTTAACCCTAGGTACCATACTCAGGACAAAAACATCCCATTTGGAAATCGTGTGAAGAGTACAACGTACTGTGAAAATTAAGTATCGGTAAAGTGTACATCAGTCCCCAGGGCAATTTAATTTCCTCTTTTTAAAAAATTTACTTTTATTTAAATTCAATTTTGTTAACATATAGTGTATTATTAGTTTCTGAGGTAGAATTTAGTGATTCATCAGTGGCATGTAACACCCAGTGCTCATTACATCAAGTGCCCTCCTTTTTTTAAAGATTTTATTTATTTGACAGAGAGAGACACAGTGAGAGAGGGAACCCAAGCAGGGGGAGTGGGAGAGGGAGAAGCAGGCTTCCTGCTGAGCACGGAGCCCGATGTGGGGCTCGATCCCAGGACCCTGAGATCATGACCTGAGCTAAAGGCAGCCGCTTAAACGACTGAGCCACCCAGGCACCCCATCAAGTGCCCTCCTTAATGCCCATCACCCAATTACCCCATCCCTCCACCCACCTCCCCTCCAGCAACCCTCAGTTTGTTTCCTAGAGTTTCATCATCTCTTATGGTTTGTCTCCCTCTCTGTTTTTAACTTATTTTACTTTACCGTCCCTTCCCCTATGTTCAACTGTTTTGTTTCTTAAATTCCACATATGAATAAAATCATATGGCATTTGTCTTTCCCCGACTTATTTTGCTTACCATAATACCCTCTAGTTCCATCCACGTCATTGCAAATGGTAAGATTCTTTTTTTTTTTTTAAAGATTTTATTTATTTACTTGAGAGAGAGAGAACATGAGAGGGAAGACGATCAGAGGGAGAAGCAGACTCCCCGCTGAGCTGGGAGCCCAATGCGGGACTCAATCCCGGGACTCCGGGATCATGACCTGAGCCGAAGGCAGTCGCTTAACCAACTGAGCCACCCAGGCGCCCAAGATTTTATTCTTTTTGATGGCTGAGTGATATTCCATTGTAGATACACCACATCTTCTTCATCCATTCATCTGTCAATGGATATCTGAGCTCTTTCTATATTTTGGCTATTGTGGACATTGCTGCTATAAACATTGGGGTGCATGTGCCCCTTAGAATCACTATGTCTGTATCCTTTGGATAAATACCTAGTAGCACAATTGCTGGATTGTAGAGTAGCTCTATTTTTAACTTTGTGAGGAACCTCCATACTGTTTTCCACAATTTAATTTCCTCTTATGACACAGCAACAGAAAAACAGAGCTCAGAAGAGAATGACATGGGACGCCTGGGTGGCTCAGTCGGTTAAGCGTCTGCCTTCGGCTCAGGTTCATGATCCCAGGGTCCTGGGATCGAGTCTTGCATTGGGCTCCCTGCTCCGCGGGGAGCCTGCTTCTCCCTCTGCCTCTGTCTCTCTCTCTGTCTCTCACGAATAAATAAATAAAATCTTTAAAAAAAAAAAAAAGAAGAGAATGACATTTTAGCTTCAGAAAGGTAACTGATTCTGTCTACAGATATTCTCATTAGAAGGCCAGCAAAATGTGGCAGGTTCTTAGGCCCCTAGGGGTTGGCAGTCAATTTTTTTGTCGCTTACCCTCCCCCTCCTTGAACCAAAGAAACTCAGGTGTGACCCAACTGTCTAGCACAAAATAGCTGTTAAATAGACAGTGGGTAGATAGACGAGAGGAGCAAATCAATGAACAGCTCAGCCAGAGGTTAACAGTGTCTCTACTATATTCCCAAGTGGCCCTGGGGCATGTGTGTGGGACCCTCTGAGCATGGGGCTCCTCTCCTGTATTCTGCACCCCAGTGGAAGAGGTTTCCTGGCATACAAACTGGCTGCCTGCATCTTCCACCCTGGCCTCTAAAGGGCTCCTCCTCGTCCAACCCTTCCCCACACTGCCAGCAGGGGGAGCTTGCAGAACCCTTACACTGTCTTTCCTTGTCAACCCCACAAAAATAAATTCACCCACTCAATTTCCTGACTGTCGTGCAGTAGTGTGAAGGGTTCTGTAAAGGACTTATTGGACAAAGGTCTTACATGAGACAGCACCTCAGAATTCTTGGGGTGATTTTTCAACAACAGAAAAAACGGTACCAGAATTATCTGGGGATTAATTCTGAATTGGCAAGAACAAATTGATAGATTCTTCAGTGTGCCAATGGCTTCTAAACATGGAAAGGACTCCTCACTACTAACTGTAATTAATAATAAATTTATTGATTTTAAGAATTCTCCGTTAGCATTCCTTGAAATATTTACCCACACAGTTAATCAATCAAAACTCATGATCTAGCACACTCAATTCCCTCAAATATTTAAGTACAATTACAAAATTGATCAAATTTTTCTAAGCATTTAAATAAAACATGGGTCTAATATTTCAGAGTCTCTTAAATTTTAAACACTTTAAAAATCAACACACAGACCAATAGATGATGCTTAAAACCCATCAGCGTCCTTATACTAAAACTGGTCAATGACTATACTATGTGCTTAATTTTTTTCATTGCAGTCTCAATTTTAATAACTCTCCTTATTTATTTATTTTTTTTAAAAGATTTTATTTATTTATTTGACAGAGAAAGACACAGTGAGAGAGGGAACACAAGCAGGGGGAGTGGGAGAGGGAGAAGCAGACTCCCTGCCGAGCAGGGAGCCCGATGCAGGACTCGATCCAGGGACTCCAGGATCATGACCTGAGCCGAAGACAGTCGCTTAACCAACTGAGCCACCCAGGCGCCCTAACTCTCCTTATTTTTATTCCTATTCTTATCTTAGGTTTGCCTCACTAGAATTTCAGTAACTCTAATATTTTTATACCACTGTAGAGTTTCATTTATTTGTTTTCCCAGGAGTCTGGTGCTTTTAGGACTGGTTGCAGCTGAGACCCTCTGTGCACTCTGAGGACATCTGCATCATCGGACTTGCAAGTCTTTGCGTTTCATACAGATTTCCTTATTCTGAAACCTCCCCAGAAACGATGCAGTCCTTAAATTGGGTGTGGCCATCAGGTCCTGACCCGCTGCCCTGACATTCTGGCCAGGTCTGATGAGCCACTGGAAGCGTTCATGGTCCTGAGTGGGGTCTCCTTATGGCCAGCATGACTAGTGAGGCATGGAGCCCCTCACAGAAGGTCTGGGGCTGTCCCCGCAGCGAGCTCTCTAACAGCTACTTTCAGCTTAACAGAGTACCATTAACTGGCTACTCTATGGAATGCCTCTGCCCCATCACCTGCTGGGCGGCACCCTTTCTACCTGATCACTCTTAGAGGCCAGGCGTGACTTTATTGCAGGTACCAGGCCTCTTCCTGGACTGTGTGGCTCTTTCCTCATGTTCCCTCTTTCCTGATTATACAAGAGAAACAACTACCTGTCTCTACTTCACAAATACTTAGGGGAAAAAACAAACATATATATAAATACGTATATCCTATATATTACCTATTATTGTTACATATTACACATTATATCTGTTGCTTTGCTAAAATATGGAGATTATATATATATATCTTAGTGTATCTGGATATACACATTATCCCAGTTTATTTGCCCTTCTTTTAAGCAAAATAATAATATGTATTCATGTTCAAATTATGATACTCTGTCCACTGGGAGCCCTTTGAAATTGGTTCTTGGTCCTCCTAGCCTGCTCTGGACATTTAAAAAGCATGACTGCTCCCTGACCACAACAAGATGCTTTAGGTCCATTAATGACTATGTGAAGAGCCCAGGATCCCTTCAGCATGGGACAGAATTAGAGACTGAAATTTGGGGGCTGGAGCGTACTCAAGCATTGAGGATGGACAAGAGTGATGCTCCTTAAGATTATATGGTTATAAGGTTATATATTTTATACTGGTCTTTCCAATGTAGCGTGTAACTTCATAAAACTGTTTTCTTCATGTAGACAGGAAACTGGGAGTGGTATTCCTTTTTAGACTATTAAAACTCATTTCATCATCAGAGTACCACAACAATAAACTTACCAGACTTGTCCTTCTGAATAGCTTTATCTTCAAAGTAGCAGAACATTACCTGGAAGCGGTCAGGATCTGTTGAGCGCAGTACCCTAGCAAGGAGAACAGTTTTGAGTAAATTTTGAGAAATCCAGGCCCTCCCTATCACAGATTTGGTACTACCCAGAACTGGTGAGGCTGTGAGGAACCACTAACCTACGCCACTTCAAGGGTCATATGCTCACGCAGACTTTCTGGAGGGGAATTACCCACCATCTATCATAATGTTCCCACATTGTTCCACCCAGCAACCCACCTCTAGTGATAGGTCTTAAGGGTTATGTGCATAAGGAGGATCCTCCTAACAGTGCTGGCAAAATGTCCATCAACAGACTAGTCAGCTACACCAAAGTACACCCATTTAATGGCACATCATGTAGCCACCAAAATGAGAGGTAGCTCCATATACACCACTACAGAAAAACATCCAAGATGCATTGTTCTATGAGACAGCAAGGTGCAGGGGAAGTGAGTACAGCAGGATGTCAGCGATAGGTTTCCGAAAGGCCTCCATGGGCCTTCTGTGTGTAGGATATATATGTTTGCATTTATGGAGAATTTCTAGAAGGGAAAGTAAAACTATCAAGAGTGGGCATCTCTGGATTCAGAGCCAGGAAAGTGAGATTTGTATTTTTCATCTTTAGCATCTTCTGTACCATCCCCATGTTTTCCTTCTCTTTTTTATCTTATGCACCTTTTTTACTTTTACAGTAGCTGTTCAGAGTTTGGGGGGCTCCACTAAGATAGCAGGGCACGTGTGCACACAGGCAAGCACTGGGCAGAATGCGTCTGTGGGCTTCTGCACCAGCTTTTTGTGAGTCAAACCCTAGTAGGGCAGGCCAGGTGGCTTAAGCACATGCATTCTTGAGTGCTCAGGTTCACACAGCTTTTACATAATTCCTCACATTGCCCACTTTACTGGTTTTTGGGTTTTTTTAAAGATTTATTTACAGAGAGAGAGATTGAGAGAGAGAGTGCATGTGCGGTGGGGGGGTGGGTAGGGCAAGGGAGAGAGCATCCCAAGCTGACTCCCGCTGAGCACAGAGTCTGAGGAGGGCCTTGATCTCACCACCCTAAGATCAGGACCCAAGCCGAAACCAAGAGTCGGGTACTCAACTGACTATGCCACCATGAGCTCCCACTTTGCTGTTTTAAAGCTCTCCTAATAACCAGTGGCTGGGAGCCTAAGCCATGTTCTTGAATAAAGGCTTCAGAGCTGCTTCTCCATGCTAACAATGCTCTCAGAGGCCTGGCAGGCAACCTGGGATGGGAGCTGGGCTCTTGGGAGCTGCCCGTGGGCTGTCCCCTTAGGGTTTTGCTCTACCAGCCCGCTCCACAGAGTGTCCTGAGAACCTGAGAACTCCATTCAGGGGCACCATTGTGGGGAAGCAGGAGACAGCCCTGCCTGTGGGCACGTGAGGCTGAAAGGGTCCGGAGACATCTCTTGTAGCCATTCAACCTTGGAGCAAACCAGGCTTTTGGTCTGTGTTGGTTTGCTTGTTTTGTTTTGGTTGGTTTCTCTTTCAAAGTATATTTTTTATAAAAAGGCTGAGAGGGAACAGTACTAATACACAATAGGGAATGGTGGTGGGATCAGTGGTTTTTCCTCTCCATTTATTTCCAGGTTTATGTGTAATATTCTTGTATTGCTTTTATAAAAAAAATTATAATGAAAAAAGCAAGGAAGGTCAAAAGTTCCTTGGCTCTGTGGGACTCTGGAGGAGAATGGGTCACTAGCTCTCAAACTCTGCTCTGTTGTGGCACCCTCAGGCTACCAAGAGGCAGGGAGGAGGGGACAGGGCAGGAAGGTGTGCGCTTCCCACTTACACAAAACAGCCTTAATCTGTTTTATATGTTGAGCTTCTGAGCAAGAGTTCTTTTACCACAGGGTTTCATGGCACCAAATAAAGGTTAAATAGTGGCATTTACCAAATATTCCTCCTATTAAGAACTAACACTTTCTTTTTCAGACCATTTGGTAGAGTTTCTCTATAACTTATTGCACCTATCCTGTGATTTCAACAAACAGGAGATGTGTAACCTGACCTTTTTTGACGACAGGGATGCATCATTCTGTAGCTAGCGTATTCAGCTGCAGGCCGAGGGTGTCTCAGGCCTTACCATGGTGGATCTGTAGCATTCACATAGGCAGCTGCGCTCTGAGCATCCTAGCTGCTTCTTCCAGCTGTCATTTATGAGAGGCAGGATGGCACGGTGCTTAACCGACTAGCTGGATCTCCATGGAAGTCAGGGATTATTACCTTGGGTAACTAACTTAACGGCTGCCTCAGGGTCTCCATTTCCTCATCTGTAAAATGGGTATGCGACAGTGCCTACCTCATAGGCTTGTTAGAGAGTGTGTCAATACATGTAGCTTAGCACAGTGCCCGGCATGGCATAAACACTCAATCCATGTTAATATTGGTGTTGTCATGATGACGATTATTATAACTGTTAGGTCTGCTGTGGTTACACATGCATCCTGAGTGTTGGGCCACCTGTGGGGCTGTTTTGGGACAGGCCCCTTCCCACTTCCCATTTGCTGTTTGTACTCAGCTGTGGTCCTGGAAACTAGCAAAATGAATGTCTTAGAACATACTCAGTGAGGGCCGGTTCCTAACAGGGGCTCTTACACAGTCAAATGGACTGAGTTTGCAACATCTATGGTGACTGCTCAGAAGCCTATTCCCTATAAGGAGAGGATGACAAGAGAGTTTAGATACCTGGGGATTTATAAGATGTGGTGTTTGGTGCCCAGGAGGGAGGAGCACACAAGAAGAGCATAGGATATTTTTGTTTTTTTTGGTTTTTGCTTTTTAAGAAAGCTTACGTGTCTTGGGAGAAACTAAAAAGAGTCCCATGCCCAGAAGGCAAGAAAGTTTAAAAATTAGCTCCAGTGTAGCTGTGCTGGGAGGCAAAGGCCTGGATACCTCATATATTCCAGCCGGTAAACAGACAGGAGATAGGTGGACATGGCAAAGTCCAGCTTGTTGATGAGGGCGGACACTTCGGGAGCAGGGTCCAGCAGGTTGATGATGGTGCTGCGGAGCTCACTCAGTTCAGCCTGGGGGAAAGAAATGCTCAAGGGCTCACACAGGCACCCAGAGGGGAATGCCCCCTCCACCCCAGGAGCCGTGGAGAACATGTGATAACAAGGACAATGCAAGGATCTGGTCATTGTTTAAGAAAGCTTAGCAAAATCCCTGCCCTGCATCATCTGTCCTTGGCAGGGTGAGAAGCCTTACGGGGGTGACTGTGTCGTTTTTCATGGCCGAGTTATACTGGAGGACGGAGCGCAGTGGTTCTTTGCTGGGAAACGTGAGCAGGGGCGACTTGGTGGCTATTTCACAGACTCCCTCGTACCATTCTTCTGGCCAGAGTCCTTCAAGAAAGTGCACATGAATGAGACCACCACCTTATTCCAGAAGCACTGCGGGGCAGGTGATGCTGACCATTTCTAGAGTCATGGGTCCTTTGTTTGAGCCAATTATCCCCCAAACGGAGCACAGAAATGAGTCTGTTTCCTAACTTGGACAGGTTTTTCCTAAGATACATAGCACTGTCAGAACCCTAAACTACATCTGGGAAGTGTAACATTTGTAATCACTTGTAGGAAGCAGCAGCTGAATTTGGACGAATTTTGAATGCATGCACATTCATAATTAGGTAGAGTCCTGCCTCACCTTTGTTTTCACTCTGCACTCTGTCTTCCCCAGGAGAGCGAATATCCCCTTACCTGAGCCCTCCACTGCAAATCCCATCAGCACGGAATAGAGCCAGAAGTCCCGGAAGAGCTTCTGCAACCGAGGCTTGGCTTCTTTGATGGGAGGCAACCTCCGGGTGAGCTGATGCACCGAGGACAGAGGGAGAAAAGGAGGTTATTTGCTCACAAGCCCTAAAACCTCAGATGTAAAATCAACCCCAGATTCATTCTCCAAGAATCAGTCAGTCATTTTGGGTTGGAAAAGACACACTGAGCAGTGACCAACATTTCTTGATCAATTCACTGGTAAATACCCATTCAGCAAACATTTATTGAGTAGCTAATGTGCACCAGGCCCCATGCCTGGGAGGTGAAAAGCCCCATTCCTACAAAGGCCTTTCTGCCATGTTTGGAGCCAGGTGAGGAAATCATCACAGTATGGCAGGGTTCCGGGAGGAGGTGTCATGGGTCTCAATGTTACCATGCAAGTAACCCTTGGCCAGGCAAAGAAGAGAGAGCAGGCTGTCCAGCCACAGGAGAATCAGGCCCAAAGCCTGGGCCTGGGGAGGGCATGGAGGGCTGGGGAGGCTGGAGCTCAGATGAACAGCTGTGACTGGAGAGACAGGGTGAGCGTGAGAAACCTCGTGGGTTGAGAAGAAATGGCTTTTAGATCTTTTCTGGCAGCAGAACTTTTCCAACAGTCATCTTGGGCAGAATCCCAAGATTTAAAATAGGCAGAGGCAGAGTTGCTTAGGTGCAGAAGTGAGAGGCTGAAGTCCCTGCATCCTTGCTCCAGATGGTGTCCTGCCCAGCGTGAAGCAGGCAGTGGCTCGTAGGTTGTGCAAAAATGTTAAATTTGTGCACAGCGCCTGCTGGACAAGTTAGTCCTCACAGAACCCCCAGAGGACGTCGAGCCCCCTTCAGTGATAATGAAGCTACAGTGAGAGGTCTCTGCAATCCAAACAGTCATGAGGGCCAAGGACACAGAGGTGGGGCACATGATGACACCACTGCTGGGAGAGTGGAACACAGCAAGAGGGGTGCCTGCACCCATGGCTGGTAGGACTGTAAACTGGTACACTATTTCCTGGAAAGCAATCTGGTAAAGTGCATCAAAAATTCTAAATAGCCCCGTCATTTCACTTAAAATCCCATCTCTAGGGGTCTATCCAAAAAAAAAAAAATCTGATTTAGGCACAAAAATGTTGCAACATTTGATAGAAGAGAACAATAAAGAGAAAAACACTAAATGTTTACCTGAATGGGGCACTTACATAAGTTACAATATATCAGAAATCGTATTTGCTAAGAATATTTGGAGACACAGGTAGAACTTACGTCAAGTGAAAAAAATGCAAAATGTATATAGCATGGTACAGATTTAAGGTATATGTATGTAAATACATGTGCATAGAAAAAGAGGGGAAAACTCCAGTCGCATATTAATAATGATTATTTCTGGGTAGCCAGGTTGGCAGGAGTTTCTAGTTTCTTCCTTAACGTTGACCATACTTCCCGGAGTTCTGCCATAGATATGTTGCTTCCACAATCACAGGGAGGGCACAGGTGCAGGGCTAGGGCTGGACAACATGCTGTGTAGAAGCGAGCAGCTTCTCCTCGAAAGCCACTAGGGTGCTGTGCCCTTGGGGAGAGTCGGTCGAGATAGGGTGGGGGGTGCTGGGTGACCTGTGGGAAGGTGCTGCGGAGGTGGAGAAGCACTGCGGAGGGCAGCAGTGGTCAGAACTGTCTCAAGGTAGAAAGGACACTGTCACTAAGGTACACATGAGGGGCTTCCAGCTTGCTAGTGGCCAAAGATGGTGGGTCTGAGGAAAAGGAGCTCTGGGACTGTCTCTGAGGTGGTGGATCTCCCTAGGATAAGGTCCCAAGTGATGGTGGAGGCTTTACAGGGTTCCCAGACCACAGCCTTGCTTGGTGTTTAAGGTCAATGTGGCTAAGAGGATCTGGTGTCCTACAAGGAGAACTTGCCTTTGGTGGTTATGGTCAGGCTTTCAGAATGCTTCACTCTCAATCAGATCAGAGGCCCCAAGTGACTGAAAAGTCCAAAATGGTTTTGGAACAGTGAGAGAAAGTGACTGTCCAAAATCTATCTTCAATTTGTGATCCTACTACTCCTCACCCTGAGAACATCCTGCCTCCCTCCTAAGAACTAGGGCTTGGAAATGCCCTATAGGTTCTCCCTGCACTGATGACTCCATCACACCAGCTGAGATGGCTCTGGTCCCCAGGAAGGGAAGACTATGGTAGAATCACAGAAGTCCCCAGAAGTGCTCTGAAGCACCTGGAGAGAAAGACACGGTGTAGACAGGCTGGTTAGGACTGTGTGCAGGGACACATTGCTATGCTTCAGGAGAGACAGAAAGGAGTAAGGAGGTTTCAGAGAATGGCCAGATGATGAAAGGGTCTTGTCTGTCCCCAAGACAGGGCAGGCAAAGGGTAAAGGAAAGGGTTATAAGACAACTGACCTGCTCTCCCCTAAGAAGATCAAGGTCAGAGAAAAGAAGCCTAAAATAGATGAAGGAGTCCAAAGAAACATAACAACCAAATGCAGTGTAGGAATGGATCCTAGATTTTTTTTTTTTTAAAGATTTTATTTATTTATTTGACAGAGACACAGCGAGAGAGGGAACACAAGCAGGGGGAGTGGGAGAGGGAGAAGCAGGCTTCCCACTGAGCAGGGAGCCCGATGTGGGGCTCAATCCCAGGACCCTGGGATCATGACCTGAGCCGAAGGCAGACGCTTAACGACTGAGCCACCCAGGCGCCCCTGGATCCTAGATTTTAAAAAAGCTATCAAAGAAGTCATGGAGAAATCTGACTGGGACTGGATGTCCGATATAAGATAGAAGGACTGATTTTCCCAGATTTAACAGCAGTGCTGAGCAGTGCGGAGACACCCCCCAACACACACCATTTAGGAGACCGAGCTCCAGTGCCCAGGGCTGAAGTGTGGTGACTCTCTCTACAACTCACCTTCAAATACCTCAGGACACACCTGCAGAGTACGCGCGCACACGGAATTAAGCAGACATGTCAAAATAGTCACTGTTTTATCTAGGACAGTGGTAAATGGATGTCCATTATTCAATTCTTCCAATTGCTTTGTATATTTTTCAGTTTGGTAATAAAAAGTTGGGAAACATATCTAACCATAAGGCAAGCCTTGGAACTGGAAAGAAAACAATGGAGTAGGTGTGGCAGAAGGTACTGCTTTACAGTGGGGGTCAAAACTATACACCTCCAGTGGGCAACAGACCCAAAAATGTCAGAATTGTCAAGAAGGGCTGAAATCCAGTTTTTTCAACAGTGGGTCACATGATCAGAAACCTAGATATGTAAGAAACATTTACTGATTAGTTTAAAATAACCTAAGCGATATATACTCATAGAAAAGAAATTCCAGCAAAGCATATAGAGTGAAAAATGAACACTTTCCACCTGCCTCCCATTTCCAATGTTAAGAGTTGGCTGCATCTCCTTCCAGATCTTTTCTGTGAATAACTATGTATGGTGAAAGTGACAACAGTGAAGTTTTACTGAGTGTTGACTGAGTGCCCGGCGCCACTCTCTGTGCTTTCTGCACATTATCTCATCATCTCATCTAATTTCCACAGCAACCTTATGCAGCAGGTATAACTACTGTCCTCAGTTCAGAGAGAACACGAAGGGTGGGAGGTGGGATTCCCACCAACGCAGCCAGCACAGCCTCGGAGAAACCCAGAGCAGATGGTGTGCGCGCAGCGGGCCTAAGGGAAGACTTCCATGCGGAAAGAGCAACCAGTGCCAAGGCTCCAAGAAGGGCCAGGCTTAGTGTGTGTGAGAACAAGGCCAAGAGCAGATCACATGGGGCTTATCAGGCCCTGGAGGAGTCTGTGAGAGGTAACAGCCTCTCCAGGCCTGTACGACGGTGCCCAATGCTGAAGTCCCAGTATTGAGCAGGCACAGTGAAGGTTCTGAGAAATCAATGTGTGACCATAGCTACTGAGTGCTGACCTGGACCCAAATCCAGCCACACCTGTCAGCTCTTAAACGCATTGGACAGCCCTTTACGGGCCAGAAATTTCTCAAAATGAGCAACACACAGACGCCCCCTACAGGCTCCTCACAAGCCTACAGAGTCCCCAGAGAGTCCTGTTTTCATTAGAGGGCCTCTGGGTAACACACACACTCTTGGGTACCAAAATCAGGGAGCAATGCTCTGTGATAAGTTGGTCTTCCAGACAATCCAGAATATTCCTATAATAATGTTTTAGATTACAGAATTTTTTAAAAAAAGATTTTATTTATTTATTTGACAGAGAGAGAGATAGCGAGAGCAGGAACACAAGCAGGGGGAGTGGGAGAGGGAGAAGCAGGCTTCCCGTGGAGCAGGGAGACCGATGTGGGACTCGATCCCAGGACCCTGGGATCATGACCTGAGCCAAAGGCAGATGCTTAACAACTGAGCCACCCAGGTGCCCTAGATTACAGAATTTAAAATAAATTTTATTTTATTTTTTTAAATTTTATTTATTTATTTGACAGAGAGAGATACAGCGAGAGAGGGAACACAAGCAGGGGGAGTGGGAGAGAGAGAGAAGCAGGCTTCCCGCGGAGCAGGGAGCCCGATGCAGGGCTCGATCCTAGGACCCTGGGATCATGACCCGAGCCGAAGGCAGACGCTAAACGACTGAGCCACCCAGGCCTCCTAAAATAAATTTTAAAGAGTGATTCTAGGGGCACCTGGGTGGCTCAGTTGGTTAAGCGTCTGCCTTCGGCTGAGGTCATGATCATCTTAGGGTCCTGGGATCGGCCCCACGTCGGGCTCCCTGCTCAGTGGGGAGTCTGCTTCTTCCTCTCCCTCTGTTCCTCGCCCCCGCTCATGCTCATCCTCTCTAATAAATAAAAAATCTTAAAAAAAACATAGTGATCCTAGCTCCACAGATCCCTGTGAATGCCTAGGTGGGCCAGAATTTGGGGAGCACTGCTCAGTAATACCTTATGTCGTGTAACAGCTAAGGAAGCTGGACTGCAAGCCTGGCACAGAACATGGTGAGTGAGCCCTGACTGAAGAAAGTTCTGTACCAAGGTCTCCTTACACTATAAATCACTGATCTCACCGCCCCCCTCCACTTTTCTGAGGGA